ACTAATGTCCTTGTAATTTTATTTTTTGGGAAACCCTCATGGAAAAAACGGAAAAAATTGAAAAAATAATAGATTTATTATTTATTGTTGTTATTATTCAGTTACATACTTTTAAAATTTCACATAACATTTTAGTTTTTCCTAGACGTGGTGATCTTTAACCTATTTTGATTGTTTTCATAGGTATTTGACATTATCTGGATTTATTTACGGTAAAATTTCCAAAATGATCGGACAAATTTGTTTTTTTTTTTAATATATATTTTGAGAACAAATTTAAACAAAAATTGCAAAAAAAAAATAATAAATATGGATATTTAAATTATGTAATACCGAACTGCCCCCGGAATTTTTTTTTGTCAAGCAATAGTCTATCGTTACTTACCCATATAAATGAAATAACCTTATGTATCCTACCTTCCAAACTACTTACCTAAAATAGTGGCCGCTGCCAGCCTCAGTCTAAGCTTTTTTTTTTTAGGTTCTTTCGATTTTAAGCGATATTTATTTCAATTCAACGTATGATTTTTTTTTCTGTTTAAAATTTAAAGTTAAATGTTTGTTTTAATTGTAACGATTTATTTTCAGGTATTAGCATTTTGTACAAAAAATCGACAAAGAGTTCGCCTAGTCTATTTTCATTTTTGGCACCGTTCAGTCCTTTCGTTTGGCTTTGGGTGATAACGGCCTACTGTGGCGTATCTGTTTTACTCTTTATCATGGCCAGGATAAGTCCATACGAATGGACCAACCCTTATCCTTGCATAGAAGAACCCGAATACTTGGAGAACCAATTCAGCATGTCGAACGCGTTTTGGTTCACTATCGGGTCACTTATGCAACAAGGTTCTGATATTGCCCCGATGTAAGTCCGAAAAAATATTCAAGTGCAATCATTAGGAAAACAGTATCTTAAATCTCCTGTCGTGCATGTTGTCGGTTATTCTTTCTTTTAGGCAACGAAAAGACTTCAAATTATTATCCTGGTAGTCATGTGAATTGTTTTGTTTACAATTTAAATTTCATTTCGATTGTTTAGCGCCGTATCCACCAGATTGGTTGCTGGAATATGGTGGTTCTTCACGCTTATCATGGTTTCATCTTACACTGCGAATTTGGCTGCGTTTTTAACCGTTGAGGGTGTGTCCGATCCGTTCAAAACCGCTGAAGGTTTAGTCAATCAAAATGTCATAGCGTATGGTCTAAAAGAGAAAGGGTCTACCGACGAATATTTCAAGGTATGATTTAAATACGATAGTATATTATTATATACTAAGCTATAAAAAAATTCCATAAGCTTTTTTTTTATTATTATTCATGAATGGTTTTTTAGGTAATTCATAGACTATTTAAAATTTATGTCTACATTTTTTTTCATATTTTGAACATTTATTAATCATACATTAAAATAAATATTTCTTTAGGAATCCTCGAATCCGACTTATAAGAAAATCTACGACACTTTACAAAAACACAAGTCTTGGTACACTGATGGTAACGATGCGGGCGTAGAGAAAGTACTTAATGAAGATTATGCGTTTTTCATGGAGTCTACGTCGATCGAGTGAGTATTATGATACATTTTCCTTCTTTTTTTCTCTGTTGCTTTCATCCCAACTATTTACGCTTGTATTACATTAAATATACGAGAATAATTTCACACAATAAATAATAGACGAATTGGCCATACGATCATTTGGCTTTTATGAAAATTCGAATTTGTGTTCATACGATTTGTGCAAAATTATACCGGTATTTTAACCGTTGTTGCTTTCCGAAAGGTACATGGTTGAACGAAACTGCAAGTTGGCACAAATCGGTGGTCTGCTGGACAACAAAGGCTACGGGATCGTAATGAAAAAAAGTATAACATTGTGCATGTTGTATTATTGTGTAAGAGAAACACGTTTTTATATTCCTAGTGATTGATCTCCTGTTTTTGCAGACGCGAGTTATCGGAACACTCTGAGTGCTAACATATTGAACTTACAAGAAAAAGGCAAGCTGACTGCGCTGAAAAACAAATGGTGGAAAGAAAAACGCGGTGGTGGAGCGTGCCAGGTGGGTATTTTGAGGCACATCTTTTGAAGATACAAATAGTTCGGAAAGGTGCTTAAAGGGATTCGATACTGATAATTTTCTTCTTTGCTTAACACTCTAACGTATACGCACTACGGAAGGTCGGTCATCGTTTCGCCCAAAAAATTATATTTATGTATATTTTTTTCACTATTGTTTTGCTAAAATTAAAATGGTTTGGATTTCATTCCCACCAAATCTTTTGCTACCTATTTAAATTAATTGTTGAAAGCCATTTAGGGCCTCCATAAAAAAGTGTTCTCATTAACCTCAAACATTTCATTTTTGTTTGTTTTGAGTAAATCTAGGAATGCATTGGTTTTATGATTTATTTATTTATTTTAATATGATGTGTTATATAATATTTCCTGTTTTTTATTTATACATACATTTTTAGAGACAAACAACAGAAATATTGTTTAATTGAAACATTACAAGAAGCCTTTTAATTTTGGATCTAGTCGGTGCTAATTTTAAGTGATTTTTCATGATAATTTGGAAAAACGTAATATTTAAAAACAAACAAATTTACGGTGATAATGGTTTTTTTTAAATTTTGTTTTTTTAAAATCTTGTTTTAAAATTCAAGTATAATACGTATTATATGTTTTCCTAATGAAAATTTTATCTAGTGGATGTATAAGAAAGTCATTATCTTAATAATTGAAAAACCGTGAAAAACGTGTTTATATTTCTAAAACATTTTATCGATTTTTAAGTTATGTATAGACATTTGATGTGTTTAGTTTTAATTTTGTAAGTATTATATTGATAAAATTATTTGACTAAAGAAAAAAAATTGAAAATTTAGTATGAGAAAAATTATAAGTTGTACTTAGCGGTAAAAAAAAAATGATCATTTATGATAGTTTTTTTTTATAAGCGTTTTGAGATCAAATTTTTGACGAAAATCAAAAAAAAAGATGGCATTTAAAAACATGTATACCCAAACTTCGCTCAGAATCGTTTTTCATTACAGTGCTTCATCTTTGAGTATTGATAAAAATGCAATAATTCTATTTTTCCGAACTACTCAACTTTTCACCTACAACAATGGTGCACCCCTTAGCTATTTCTATTAGCGTTGCATATTTAGGGTTATATGTATTGCAATTAAAACTAGGGGGTCACACTAAACATTAATATTGATAAAAATAGATTTGGTGGATACGATAGTTAGCGGAAACGAGCATTTGAACCAATTTGTCGGTAATCGGTTCGAATTTTAAAGTCTCCTACTTTCGGAAATTTAATTTAAATATATTAAAACTAATACAAATGTATAACGTAATGTAAAATGAACTTCAAATGAAAATGAAAAAAAAGTGGCCTGACCGATTTCACGTACACTTCATGCTCTTCAACTTTGTTTTCAGAATATTTATCGTTTCATTGATTAATTATTGACAATATGGTTTCAAATATAGTAATCTGGACATAATACCCTCATTATTTCGGAAAGTATAAATTCTGTTGAAATGTTCTCGTATGTTGTTAAATGTTTTAATAAACAAGCAAGGTAGTTGAAACAAATGTCAGTGTTCGACAAAGATCATATCCGTTGGTATTAGCTCAATCGATGGTATTTTTTTTTTTGCTTTGGCTCGTACAGGTCAAGGAGAACAACGAGGCTAGCGAATTGAGCATGAAAAACGTGGGTGGCGTGTTTATCGTGCTGTGCAGTGGCGTCGGGGTGGCCGCTATTCTGGCGTGCCTGGAAATGTTCTGGGAGTTGTGGAAGACGACCACCAAAGAAAAGGTCGGAACCTCGTGTTGTTTGCGTTATTGTTTGTCGCTCGGCCGATTATAATAATCGGCCGCCGCCGTCTGTGTGTCTCTCTACTGATGGCATCGGTTCCGCTCTCTGTCNGAATCCGACCGGTTCCAATCAGTACGTGAACTCTGCGCGGCACTACAATTATGAGTCGTAGACATGCATGCGTCCGATACTAGGATATATTACAATAATATTGTGTACGTTGCGAAATAAAAATAAATTAAATATACGTGACAATTAATATTTAGGTACAGAAATATTGTGTACAGTTTATATGTTTCTCCTGAGGTTAGAACTCTTAATATTGTTCCGACATAGTGTTGCATAGTTTTACAGTTGTCATCTATTATTATAGGCACGTAAATAAAACGAAGAAAATATTATTCGAATAAAAACATTTAAAAAAAAAATTATTACGGTCATTTTATTGCTTGTGGTACCTTTTTTTTTAAACACAAAAACGTTCAATGATATTTGCTCTGGACAACTTTTCTACCAGCAATTTTGGTTTTCAAGTGTACCACTTTTTTTGAAATAAAATTTGATTGGGATGGTACTTTAAGAAGGTCATTTTTTTAAAGTTTTCCAAGCTATTTTTATAATAGAAAAATTGGGAAAAAACTTGAAGAAAAAGAAACAATGTACGAATTGTATAATGTTTTTTGTTTTGTTCTGAATCAGTTGAAAACATTATTTAAAATATATAGAATTTGAAGTTTGGACAAAAAACTTTTATTTTCTATTAGCCATTCTCGAACCATTAATAGATATTTTAATTTTATGGCGTTTTCTTACATAATTTTTGTATGGTAAGTACTCTGTAGGTGAAATTATAAGACTAAACAGAAATGTTAGAAAATTTAACAGGATTTTCATTTTAAGTTGGATTTTGTGGTCAAAACAAAAATTGACTTATATAGTACCTATTTTTAGATTCTGAGTGTAACGAAGAATGTTTTGGCTTTACTAGGATATTTATTTTTTTATCCTATGTACAAAAATTTTACCAGAAATTATGCTCAGGTGTATACGCGTGGCACCATTTATGAAAGGGAATGTTGTCCAGATGGTACTTTTGGGAGGTCATTTTTTGATTTCTCAAGCGGTTTTCATAATATCCCGGAAAAATCAGGATAAAATGTAAGAAAAACGGGAAATTACGAAAATAATGGTTTCATTATTTTTCAATTTTGTTATATGACGAAAATTGTTTGAGAAAAAACTATGTGGAACAAATCTAATTTTTCAATGTTTTTTTTTGAACATATGTGTATTACCGATTTAAGAACAATGGTGAAGCAGAATTAAGCAGACTCACTAAGTTTCGAAATTATAGTTTTTTTTTGAAATCTAATATTCGGATATTATATGTCATGTTAAATAAATCTATGTTTTCCTAATTAAAGCATATTTGTCGTGATCTAATGGTTATTTATATCTATTATTACGCTAGGGGTTCCAAGTTCAAATCAGTGTGTAGAAAAAAAATTATTTGCATTTTTTTCCCCTTTTCCCTAAACAAAGAAAAAAACAAATACGTTTTGGATATACCTAGTGACCCCAGCCATCGCACCATTGGATTCTTTTAATTGCGAAATACCCCTCGATTTGTTGAGCTAACTTTTCTACCAGAAATCTTGCTTCGATGTGGTAAGTGTAGCATATTTTCTGAAAGGAAATTTTACCTTCATGGTAATTTAAGGAGGTCATTTTTTGATTTTCCATGGAGTTTTCCCAATAAATGGGGAAAATTGTGAAAAACGGAGGAAAAACGGAAAAATTTACGAAATATAGGTATTAGTTAAAAAATATCTCGGCCTTTTTTTTTCCTGTGGACAACTTTTTTTCCAGCAATTTTGCTCTAATTAACAATGATAGCATTTTTTTAAAAAGAAAATCTGACTGGGAAGGTACTTTAAAGAGGTCGCTTATCGATTTTTTCCGAAGTTTTCTTAGCAAATGTGAAAAATTGGTGAAAAACATAGAAAAACCGGGGAAATCGGTACAACATTAAACAAATATTATTAAAGAATATATACAGAACGTACTGAATTGTTTTGCTATAATATGGCATATATATTGTTGACAAAGCATCACTATCAACTGAACTCCGCTCAGAATCGTTTTTTCCTAAGCAATGGTGTATCGTTGCTTACAGGTATACATTAAATAACATATAACAGTGATTGCACCCATCTCCATCATCCTAGGACGTCTTTTTTATTATAAGAATTTAATATTAAATTTTGATGACATTTATAAATATTACAAATCACTATTTACCAAACTCAGAAGCGTTTTTTGTTAGCAATCGTTTCGTACAGATAAATATTAAATTCCGCTTCTACTTTCCCAACTTCTCACCTACAACAGTAGCTCACCCATCGCTCAAAGTATGTCCGTATCTTTTTATTTTTAATAATATAAAATTATTAAGTGAAAAAAATGAAATTATTTTTTAATAATTTGTTTAATAATTTAAAAGATACACTGATTAAAAAAAATTTAATTTATTTTTTCGGTAAAACTGAAGTTGCAGATTGTATACGAAAAATATTGGGTAGGTATAGAAACAAAGTAGTTCAAAAAAGACTAAGCGAAAAACGTTTAGTTTGTTATTGTGAAGTAATCAATTTTTCACTTGTTACTCCGATATTAATTTCTGTTAAAAAACTCAAATAAAAATTATACAGTAAATTCTAGGTGTAAATTTAAGTATCTTAGCATAAGTTAAATAATGAATTTTTTTATACGGGCTTGTTATTATAAGGACTGATTTACCGTCGAAAACATTATTTGCTGTTTCTTCACAATCATATTGACTGGAGTTATCCCGTTTCCGCTTAGCACGGCAAAAATCGCATATATAATTAGCTTCCCACAAAATAAAATGTAACTATTTTATGTTTTGATTTTGTACAATAAACTTCTTAATAACACGGGGGAATTTTCGCTTTTTGACCAATAGGAATATGCTAATATTGCTGATGATTGTTCTTCACTATAATGGATGGAATATAAAAAGCAAGGGTACATCTAATTAATAATTTATATCGGAATACAACGATAGATCATTTACGTTTTCGTGACGAGTATAATATAATGTTTCCTTGCATTTTGTCAATTATTTAAGCGACTATGTAGATTTTGGGAGAACTTTTCTTATAATCTTCTTATGTAAAATTAAGAGTTTAAACTGAACTCTGTAGAAGTTCATTTTCTTATAAGTGTGCAGTTTTTGAGAAAAAAGCAAAAAAAGGCATCGTTGTCTATATCACGTTCCTCAGAGCACAGGAGAATTAGCGTATGCATGAGCGGTCAGACATTTCAAAATTATGGGACGTTTTTCAAGCATGGAGTCAACTTTGATGATTATTTCTCTAACTTATTAAAAAATTCCAACAAGTAATATTAAAAACAATGTGTTATGCCTAATTTTGTTATAGAAAATCCACATACCTATTTAATCTGTAAAATGATAGAGCTTTACCGCTATATACGAAAATAACGATAGTCTCATGCAACTTAATAAAACATTACAACTTTGAAGTATCCGATTTATCATCCGATCCGAAAACTTAGTACAAAACCAAGGTTTAGGTAAATCGTACTATTCGCAAAAAAACACGATTGTATCCAGTGAACAGCATGTTATTTAACGACTAGTTGAATATAGAAATATGATTATTGATTAAATATAGTTATTTATAATTAAACGCACGTGCACTATCTAATTAAATATTATTTACTTTCTTTGTTGTTTTAAGCAAAGTAAGTATGCCTATGAGATCCGAATACAAGTTTACTATCGTTTTTCAGTTTTACAGAGCGATTTACAAGACACGAACAAAACAATTTGGTACCAAAATTATAAATGTATATTTTTAATTAAATAAGTCAGTCAAAACTAGTTTTTACTGAAACGCATGTATTTCAACCTGCACTAAAACGCACGCAATTACGCGCAATCTGTAAACATTGCTCCATGAATTCGACTGGCTGGCTAACAGATCAATTAAGATAACTTTAACCAGTCGTCTATCTACGTTATCTAATCACTTTTAGATATGATAACTTCGACCGATTATACCTTATAGATAATAATTCGGCCCCTGTAGCTTTTGTTCCCGTGTTTTCAGTTTTGCCAGTTCGTTTGTCCTCGTTATAGTCGTACCTACGTGTTTGTTTGTCTGGTCCAACTAGTTTGAACTATCAAAATAAAAATTACGAATTTTCACTAGATAAATCTAGTTTTCACCAATGTATTTCAGACACAACTAGAACTCTGACTAAACAAAAATAAGTTAAATCTAGTTTTACCGGTGAAGGTCTTTGTTAATTCTAGTTTTAATTAGTCAAAACTATAATTGACTAAAGGGATTTGTGGAAACTAATTTTCACTAGTTAAAACTAGTTTTGACGGATTTCGGGTTTTAACTGTAACATATTTATATATATATATATACCATGGAATTCCATTCGTTTAAGTACGACGAGACAAACACTATTGGTATGCGCTTGATGAGACTGTACGAATTGTACGATAATGAGGTGAAATCGTCGTACCGCAGTGAACGAATAATTTTTAGTCCACTTTTTTTAATAAACCATAACTGTACTATATATTTTTACTCTTATTAATAATTTGTTTTCTAAAGCATTTTCTAAAAGATTTTTTTCAATTGTCGCTTCTCCCATACGAGCGCACTGGACTATAAATAATATCGAAACGCGACGCGTGCCAGAACAATAAATACTTAGGCTATACGTTTAGAATACGAGTGTCCGTCGAAACGTACGGTTATATCGTATTATGATTCTCTGACTAGTTTTACACATTTTATGTAAAAATGCAAATATTTTGTACGGTATCGTATTGAAACCGCATTTAAAATGAACTGCATATTTGGTTTAGTTTCGTTAATTTTAGTTTTTGCAGAATGCACCGGAGAAACAACAATCACTTTAGGTAAGAAATTTAATGTTTTTATTTAAACACCGACGTTATTGAAATATATAGTTTACATTAAAATTAGTGTGACGCACAAAAATGAGCGCTAAAGATCAAATAATATGTCGATAATAAATATAAAATAGTATGTAGGACACATAGTGTAGGTGAATAATTTTTCTTACAAAACCTGTTAGGTTTGTATCCAGTCATATAATTTTTTTAATAATCAATATTATTTAATGGAATTTTACATTAACTCTAGTATTTATTCTTAATTTATTTGGAAGTTATTCAACTTTTCAACTTATTGCATCATGTATTCACGTCTGTTATAAAGTTATGTTCTCGCAAAAATTGTTAGCGCTTTTGTAATGTACCGTTATCTAAACTTTATATCATCTGGAATAAAACATACGAATCGCAAAATAATACTACAATAGTTATTAATTTTCTCAATTGTTTTGCTGTTCACAATATCTAACTTATCGAATCAAATAAAACGTACGAAAATATAACGACGATTTTGAAAAACACAAAAAATATTGGTAAAAACCTGTGGCATGTTTAGGATTTTAAAACGGTAGGTTCCGAATAAATCATATCAAAAAGCTTATTATGTATAATTTTCTGATTTATAAAGGCCATCCATATTATTTGAAACTTGGTTAAATGTTTAATTTCATTAGAAACTATTGTCATAATTAATGACGAGTACAATACCTACGCGTATTTTACAATTTTCGACGCCATGTCTAAAGTAATAAAAGTGCATAACACATCTTACAACTTACAAAGGTCTAAAATATATTAATAATATTATATTTTACGGGCGTATATGAATAGCGAACAAAACATTACAACCATCACTAAATGTCTATTGTTTGAATACAAGACCATATTGTAAAATATACACTCATAGTTTTATTTCTGATTTCCGCTTTTTTTTTTTTTTTTTTTATTAAATTTGTATTTATTATGCAGACTATATGGAATCAACTCGATAATCGCGATTTCTATTGGAATAAATAATATATAATATACTCGTGTGTATATATATATATATATATATATATGTGTGTAATGTGAGTTTCTTTTTCCTATAATCAACGGAAAAAAAGCAAGTAAATAAAAGACGTCCTAGGATAACGGGGACGGGTGCAGCCATTGTTATAGGTAATTTAATGTATACCTGTAAGCAACGATACACCATTGCTTACGAAAAAACGATTCTGAGCGGAGTTCAGTTGATAGTGATGTTTTGTCAACAATATATATATGCCATATTATAGTAAAACAATTAAGTACGTTTTATATATATTCTTTAATAATATTTATTTAATGTTGTACCGATTTCCTCGGTTTTCCTATGTTTTTTCCCAGCTTTTCACATTTGCTGAAAAAACTTCAGAGAAAATCGATAAAGGACCTCCCGACAGAAATTTTCTTTCAGAAAAGTTGCCACACGTAAAAATCGGAGCAAATCCTCTGGTAGTAAAGTTGTCCACAGAAAAAAAAATAACCATCTTTGTAAAACTATAAGCTTTTTCACTCCACTCAGAATCTCAAAGCAAATGAAAAAAGGAAGTGGTAAAAAAAAGAATATATTTATTTTACGTATTATAATATAAAAATTATATTATTGGTTAGTACTACATATTTTATAGTACCATATAAGAAGTAGCTAAACCATATTTTAATACCATTGACTATATTATATATTCAATGATAGTATTTTAAACATTTTCACAAAGATAATTATCGGAAAAATTATCGAAATCTGCAGTCCATAATCGAATGTAACAAAAATGACTACTATTGAAGTGTAAGTAAAAAAAATGGTATTAAAACATGGTGCAAGTACCTATTATATGATACTATATAATATGTAGTACTTCCCAATAATATTACTTTTTATATAACAACATGTAAAATAAATATATTGCTTTTTTTTGACTTGTTTTAATTTCCGTTGCTTTCTTTTCCAAACCCCATGTAATGTATAAAGATATAATACTGGCTAATTGCTAGTCCCCCTCAAATATATGGGGTCATCCACAAATTCATTGATATAAAATTGTCAACGTACACGTTAAGTTGAAACCCACGCTACGTCACTGTTACACAAATAGTATTACCCGTGAATTCGATCATTTTTATATGTCTGTATAGTTTAGTATGTGTACACATTGTACATTTTGGTCCAATTTATCGCCTTCCGTCCGCAAGTAATTTGACTTTCACCTCCTATTTACATTTTTTAGGAGTGATATTTTCAAAAATTATTTCTAAGTGAATCAATTAATGAGTCAGTTTCTTCACTAATTTATTGAATAAAACACAGTGTACAAGTTTCTAATCTGTTTATTCTACTTCTATCAAGTTGCTGTCAATGGCTGACAGAATCAATGTGTAAAAATGTCTGGCGAAAATAATATTAAAACGGCAGATTCGATAAATCCCCATATTTTATATTTTGGTAACATAATAACAGACAACACATATAATTAGTTAGGTGCCTACATATTAAATTGATATCAGTTTTCTTTTTATTAATATTCCTTAAGGTACTGCTCCTTTCCACATTAACAATAACTAACATATTTTAGAAAATTATCAAATAACAAATGGGCAAAAGCAAATAATTGAGGTTCCTATAAACAATACTCATTTAGGTATAGATAATGTTATGATTATGTTTTATCGTTTATACATATGTAAAGATTTAGGAATACGTATATTAAATATTAAAATTATACACCTATTATACAAGTAAGACTAAAAAAATTGTTAAAATTAAATTAAATAGGGATATTGTACAATGAAGAAAACTCAATGTTAGAAACAGCTTTTAAGTCATCCGTAGATGTTGTCAAGTCAAAAATAGCAACAAGTGATGTGAAGCTGAACGTCGTTAGTCAAACAGTTCCTCTCTACGATTCATTCAAGACTCAACATTTTGGTATTAACGACATTTGTAAAACATGAAAATTGTATATAATGCTTAAATGTTATGATTATTGGTAAAGTGTGTGATATGTTAATCAATGGGGTATCTGGTATGTTTGGCCCGTCGATTGGTAACACGGCTCCAATCGTGCAATCCATTTGTGATTACAAAGAAATCCCTCACATACAAACCCGATGGGACATCAACCAGAAACGAGGTTCTTGTCAAATCAACCTATATCCACACCCGAGCACATTATCAAAAGTGAATATTATACATTCAAATATTTGAATAATTATATTATGTTAAAACATGTATTATAAAAAACTGCTCAACAGGCACTCGTAGATTTAATCTCAGCTATAAATTGGGAGAGTTTTACGATAATCTACGAAAATAACGACAGTCTTATGCAAGTTACTAATATTTTGAAGTTTCCTCCGACTAACCATCCGATTCGTATACGACAACTCAGTTCAGGACCGAATTATAGGTAAATTGTAAGATTTTTAAATAATATATTACGTCCAGATTACATTACATTTAACGGTTTATTAAATGCATAACTATTAGAAAACACATATAAGTTTCTACTTATATTTAAATATTATTAACTATTTGACGCGGTCAATACTTAGGTTATTTATGTGGTATGATTTTAGAAAAGAACTTCGAGAAATAAAAGATTCGGGAGAAACTAAAATACTATTAGACTGTTCATTCAATATACTTTCAGAGGTGTTGTATCAAGCCCAACAAGTAGGCCTTATGGGGTCTGAACACAATTTTATTATCGCATCTCTGGTTTGTAGAGATTTTCAAAGAACAAGCATATCGAATTCATAACAATTTTGTACGCATTTTTTTTTTTTTTTTATTAGGATATGCACACCTTAGACTTAGATCCGTTTAAGTACAGTGGTACAACCATAATCGGTATGCGCTTAGTGAAACCGTACGACAATGAGTTCAAAAATATTGTGTCACAATGGACGTATAATTTGAGTCCACTCGAACCGGACGACAAAGTTGTAATTCCTGAAACTATTCAGGTTATTACAGCAACCCAAAATAAATTTATGTAAGTGTACAATAATTATGAATATGCATAATTTTTAATTATTAACAGGTAGAGGCTGCTTTAATTTACGACGCGGTACAATTGTTTACAACGACAATTTTTGGTCTGAGCAAGGAGATCGAAATTAGTGAGACACCGACGCCGTGTAATTCTAGTTTATCCTGGAAGCACGGGTTCACACTGATCAATCACATGAAAATGGTTGTAAGTACAACACAGTAGCAGTTAATATTCGTTGAACAATGTATAATAACGCGATCATTATAATAAAGATACGAAGAGTTGATATGAATATAAATTTATGTCTAGAAAGACTTTAAAGGACTTACAGGAAAAGTTAAGTTTGATCAAGAAGGATTCCGAACTGACGTCGAATTAGAGTTAGTTGATTTAACTCAAAACGGTTTAAGAGTGATTGGCTGGTGGAACATGAAAACAGGAATTAATATGTTGGGTTTTGATTCAGAAAGCGCTTCAAATGGTAATGACTTAGATTTAAGGAATAAATCATTCGTCGTCATCACTGCATTGGTATACAAAAATTTAATTCAGATATCATATTTGTTTGCACTTGTTACTTTTGCGTTAAATGCATTTTAGACAAAGCCGTACGCAATGGTCAAACTTTCCAGCCAGACATTGGAAGGCAACGACCGATACGAGGGTTTCGGAATAGACCTAATTAAAGAACTTAGTGAAATGAGTGGATTCAATTATACGTTTATAATACAAGAAGATTTAAGCAGTGGGTACATAGACCAGAAAACAAAAAAGTGGACAGGAATGATCGGTGAAGTGATAAACGGAGTAAGGCACTATAATAAAATAACCAAGAATACATTATGATACAATTTTAATCAAGAGGACATAATTGCAAATTAATATTTTTTTAAATAAACGACGTATTGATCTCGAATTTTTCTCACTTTCGTGATTTTTGTTTCACCCTATTTGGGCTAAACACCACAATAGATTTTCAGCCGTTGTCTAAATATTTTTATTAATTTTTGATGTACAAAATGGGTGTGGGTAAATTGTATTCGATAAAACACGTGTTGTCTAAAATACAATATGAACAAATTAATTTTGTAAATTAATATATTTCATATATTTAGCCAATCAATAAATATATCGGATAGATTATATAAACTAAAATTTAATTCATTGATAAAAATTATATATTATGTGAACATTAATTTGTATCGGTAATTTTCCCTCAGAAAACCATTGATAATTAATATTTTAATAATTATAATTTTTTCCTAGAACGCCGATCTCGCAATAGCCGACATTACTATAACTCGACTACGAGAACACGACGTAGATTTTACTAGTCCATTCATGAATTTGGGTAAGTATGAATAAATACTAATGTAATGTAGTGTACTAATGTCCTTGTAATTTTATTTTTTGGGAAACCCTCATGGAAAAAACGGAAAAAATTGAAAAAATAATAGATTTATTATTTATTGTTGTTATTATTCAGTTACATACTTTTAAAATTTCACATAACATTTTAGTTTTTCCTAGACGTGGTGATCTTTAACCTATTTTGATTGTTTTCATAGGTATTTGACATTATCTGGATTTATTTACGGTAAAATTTCCAAAATGATCGGACAAATTTGTTTTTTTTTTTAATATATATTTTGAGAACAAATTTAAACAAAAATTGCAAAAAAAAAATAATAAATATGGATATTTAAATTATGTAATACCGAACTGCCCCCGGAATTTTTTTTTGTCAAGCAATAGTCTATCGTTACTTACCCATATAAATGAAATAACCTTATGTATCCTACCTTCCAAACTACTTACCTAAAATAGTGGCCGCTGCCAGCCTCAGTCTAAGCTTTTTTTTTTTAGGTTCTTTCGATTTTAAGCGATATTTATTTCAATTCAACGTATGATTTTTTTTTCTGTTTAAAATTTAAAGTTAAATGTTTGTTTTAATTGTAACGATTTATTTTCAGGTATTAGCATTTTGTACAAAAAATCGACAAAGAGTTCGCCTAGTCTATTTTCATTTTTGGCACCGTTCAGTCCTTTCGTTTGGCTTTGGGTGATAACGGCCTACTGTGGCGTATCTGTTTTACTCTTTATCATGGCCAGGATAAGTCCATACGAATGGACCAACCCTTATCCTTGCATAGAAGAACCCGAATACTTGGAGAACCAATTCAGCATGTCGAACGCGTTTTGGTTCACTATCGGGTCACTTATGCAACAAGGTTCTGATATTGCCCCGATGTAAGTCCGAAAAAATATTCAAGTGCAATCATTAGGAAAACAGTATCTTAAATCTCCTGTCGTGCATGTTGTCGGTTATTCTTTCTTTTAGGCAACGAAAAGACTTCAAATTATTATCCTGGTAGTCATGTGAATTGTTTTGTTTACAATTTAAATTTCATTTCGATTGTTTAGCGCCGTATCCACCAGATTGGTTGCTGGAATATGGTGGTTCTTCACGCTTATCATGGTTTCATCTTACACTGCGAATTTGGCTGCGTTTTTAACCGTTGAGGGTGTGTCCGATCCGTTCAAAACCGCTGAAGGTTTAGTCAATCAAAATGTCATAGCGTATGGTCTAAAAGAGAAAGGGTCTACCGACGAATATTTCAAGGTATGATTTAAATACGATAGTATATTATTATATACAAAGCTATAAAAAAATTCCATAAGCTTTTTTTTTATTTTTATTCATGAATGGTTTTTTAGATTATTCATAGATTATTTAAAATTTATGTCTACATTTTTTTTCATATTTTGAACATTTATTAATCATACATTAAAATAAATATTTCTTTAGGAATCCACGAATCCGACTTATAAGAAAATCTACGACACTTTACAAAAACACAAGTCTTGGTACACTGATGGTAACGATGCGGGCGTAGAGAAAGTACTAAATGAAAATTATGCGTTTTTCATGGAGTCTACGTCGATCGAGTGAGTATTATGATACATTTTCCTTCTTTTTTTCTCTGTTGCTTTCATCCCAACTATTTACGCTTGTATTACATTAAATATACGAGAATAATTGCACAAAATAAATAATAGACGAATTGGCCATACAATCATTTGGCTTTTATGAAAATTCGAATTTGTGTTCATACGATTTGTGCAAAATTATACCCGTATTTTAACCGTCGTTGCTTTCCGAAAGGTACATGGTTGAACGAAACTGCAAGTTGGCACAAATCGGTGGTCTGCTGGACAACAAAGGCTATGGGATCGTAATGAAAAAAAGTATAACATTGTGCATGTTGTATTATTGTGTAAGAGAAACACGTTTTTATATGCCTAGTGATTGATCTCCTGCTTTTGCAGACGCGAGTTACCGGAACACTCTGAGTGCTAACATATTGAACTTACAAGAAAAAGGCAAGCTGACTGCGCTGAAAAACAAATGGTGGAAAGAAAAACGCGGTGGTGGAGCGTGCCAGGTGTGTATAGTAGGGAATAATTTTTGGGAATTCGAATACGTCGGAACAGTGTTGAATATCAAGTTGGAATATAAAAAAAAACGTATACAGAGTAATCAAAATTACATAAGGCACTTCTTATCTCAGAAAATATTTACTTGTTTCAGAATTTGTTTTGTTAAAATATTGAAAAAAAAAAAAAACAAAAATATCTCACATTACAAATTTGTATGTATTTTCAATAAACTATTTTCAATATGCCTAATGTTTGAATATTATCTAAACGCGTTTCGGTTATTACTTCGGTATCCTATCCTCACATCGCATATGCCAAAGAGAAATTCTTAAAATTTTCGGAACGACCTCGTGGTAACGATACGAATTACCTACCCCTAGGTCTGGATTTTTCTGGTCGTGCGTGTTTTAATTTCCAGACAAAAAAAAAAAAAAAAATAACAACAAAAAACGGTATCCGTTTGTTTTAGTTAAATTGATGTGTTTTATTTTATTTTTTTTTCTTGCTCACAAAGGACACGGAGAACAACGAGGCCAGCGAATTGAGCATGAAAAACGTGGGTGGCGTGTTTATCGTGCTTTGCAGTGGCGTCGGGGTGTCCGCTATTCTGGCGTTCCTGGAAATGTTCTGGAAGTTGTGGAAGACGACCACCAAAGAAAAGGTCGGAACCTCGTGTTGTCTGCGTTATTGTTTGTCGCTCGGTCGATTATAATAATCGGCCGCCGCCGTCTGTGTGTCTCTCTACTGATGGCATCGGTTCCGCTCTCTGTCCGCAGGTATCGTTCAAGAGCGAGTTCAAAGACGAACTGAAATTCATAGCCAAGTGCCGCGGGTCCACGAAACCGGCGAGAAAGAAACAAAACAGCAGCGCGAGCAACTCGAATCCGACCGGTTCCAATCAGTACGTGAACTCTGCGCGGCACTACGATTACGAGTCGTAGTGACGCGTCGCCAGTGCACATCGTATGCATCGCCATATTACATGCTATTCGAATAATATTTTTGCGAAATAAATAAAAACAAAATGTACGTGACACGTATTTTAGTACATATAAATATTGTATAGTTTTTCAGTATCTATTATTAGGCTCTTAAAATATAATGAAGACAATATTATTCGAGTAAAAAAAAATTAAATAATAATAATTAAATTAATAAAAAAAAAAAATTATCACAGTCGTTTTGTTGTTTTTCTTTTTAAATATAAAAACGCTCAATAAAATTCGCTATGCAAATAGTTTTTTTTTTTGTTTTTGTTTTTTGTTTTTTTTTTTTTTTGTTTTTACACATTATCGTTTCTTCCGCTGGATTCCGCGTCACTTCGCGATTCCGAACGGACCTGATAAATAGTACGCGTCGACCGCCCGAAATCGCGGTATCCTATGAATGCCCGGTGACGTTCCCCCGGAGGACTATGGTACCGCCACGCCGACTCTGTCCACGTTTATGGGCGCCACGCGTTCCATCAGACACTCGATGCTGGTGCTCTGCTCGTTGGACAGGCTGGACGCGGACGAAGATTCACCGCCGCCGGTCGCCGACGCGTCCGCGGCGGATACTTGGACGCCGGCGGTGTTATTTCGGCTCATCTCGACCAGCACTGTCGTATAGTCGGGCGGCGGGACGGCCGTCTGCGCCTGCTGGTGCGGTGCCGCCTGTGCCGGGGGTTGATGTTGGCCGCCGTTGGCCGTCGACGATTCTCCGAGTATCGCCGACTGGTGGCCCAGCACGTGCGCCAACCTGCGCACGCTCCGCCGGATGCTCTGCCGCAACATTTTCGCTATCCTGCAGGCCACGCGATTTGAGGAAAACAAAAACACACACAAACACACAGTTCATAAATACGTCTAATTTGTATGTCCGCGAGGACCGTTCGCAGGGTATTTTCTCTATGTGGCCGGAACAAGCAGAAATGCACCGTTTATTTCATTAACGCATAACCTCCTCCGGCGACGAGAAAATATTATGCGATAGTCCGCGTCAAGTTTCAAGAAGAAAACAACCACCGTGTATTACTATACTAACCATGCATATTAGATTAAGTCTACGTGAAGAAGATGTTAATCCGTCAATGTAATAATATAATTATTGTCCGTATATTGTAAGTACATTAAAAATACGATAGTGAGTATATGTATAAATATTAATATTAAAATTGGTTTTTGTTGTTTTGTTTTTTTTTCGACAGTCTGATAAAATATGAAGCATAATGACTAGGTATAAAAAAATATGACAAAAAAAAAAAAAAAAAAAAAAAAAAAAACAGAAAAAAAAAACCATAACAATAATGATATTAATTATGATAATCGAAATTAGTACAAGTGTACGAACAGATGCGATCGTGTAAAGCCATGTGCAATAAACACTATTATTACTATTCTACGTGTCTATGATGTTAGTCGTGTTCGTAAACTGTTACTAAATCAGTGAATCGTAAAGACCTTGCTCCGGTAGCGGTGGAATAGGACGGCGGCGGAGTGTACTTGGGAGGCGGGTCTTCGACTTGCACGGCCGTCGATCCGTTCGCGGCCCCCTCCGGAGTCGTCTCGCCGTTTTCTGGCGATCTGCGTGTCTCGATTACAGGCCGGTACAGCATTTGAATCCGCTAAATTAGCGAAAACAATAAACAATAATTTAGAAAACAAAACGTCACGGTTTAGGCCAGAGTAGCCGTTGGACCCCGATAGCATAATAAATGATAATACTCGTACAAGAAATGTTCTTTGTGGCCGGCGTTGAGAACTATCTAGATAATATTTGTTATAACTTTCGTCGAGTCTAAATGAAAATTTTAATTTTCTACTTTATAATAAATATCTTTGTACTAATTAATTAGATAAAAAATGTATATATATAAAAAAAAAAAGTTTTACCCACTTTACACATCATTAAGTAACTGTATACGTTTTACTTGTCTAGTTAAAAAATCGAAGTAACTAACCAGTTATTTACACCCTATGCAATCAATTAATTATTTCAACTGTTTAAATTTGTATTTCCCTACTATAAATAATATAACTTTTTCAATAAACAATTTAAAAAAATAATAATAATCTCTTTTTATTTAACTAAAATTCGCTTATTAATTATCGTATCTGATTATTATCGTAATTTAAATATTTGTTATCTTTATTCGTATATCTAGATAATTTGGAGTAATTATTCTTTATTTAGATGAATTTTATTTATCTGCGTCTCAACACTGCTTCTGAGCCCATTCCACGCCGATTTGAAATAGTTTAATAAAACAAGTAACTAACATTTTATTACTATCGTTATTTTTTGGGAGTGAAACACCCAGTAGTCAATTTTTATTTTCATACGGGAACCTAAATTACAAATTTCACAAATTGATGAAGTTTTTCAAATCAATATGCATTTAAACCAAAACTTCATCTATTTATAAAATTTCATTGTATGACACTGTATAGTATTTTAATCACTCACGTCGAACAGGTCCGGGGGTCCGGTCGCCAAGTACCGACAACTCTGAACGATCCCGGCGAACGGTACGATCAGCAACGGTATTATCTGTAGTAGACAGCCAAATTCCCTGCTAGACGTAGACCAATACGAAGACTGCGATGTCCCTTTCCAGTTGTACAACCATCGGTACCCACCGTTTTTAAACACCGACGTGCTAAGCAACTATAAACAAGAACGGGTAAAATTGCGTATTAGTGAACGAGATTCCGGATATTAAGATCATCAGATTTAGTATTCAGACTATCGTAGTCACTCTCTTACGATCAGGGCTACGGGGACGATGATGTTCCAGTCAAACGAAAGCATCGGAGCCAGCCACACTTGGAGATGATGATTGGCTTGTGAAAATAGTGTAGCCACTACGGTCTCGCCACTGTACGGACGACCGCGAACCATGAACAGAGCTCCGATTTCCAGCAAATACAGTATCATCATCCACCAACCGCATCCAACACAGAAATCCATAAGATACACGATAAAAATACCCAGCTGAAAACGATTAATTTTATTGATATCATATATTATATTTATCATATTATCATAGCATATCATATTATATTTCGTAGATTTCGTTAAGACATATTAAGCAAATATTCGTTTGAATTTTTCATTTTGCAAAATCAACCGACAAAATTATCCTTACAATTTAGCCCGTTTATCTATTATTTTACTGTAAAACTCATGATAGTATATATATACCGGGTGTATCAGGATTTTTTGATCGTCGAACACTCGTTATCTCGGAAAGTGTTGACTTTTTTGGAATCTGTTTTACAGAAAATTTAAGTAACAAGCAGCTCTGTACAATTTTACATTTGCATTATTTTTTGTCACCCTAATTTTTGGATGTGAAACGACTACCTACTTTTGTTTTTTAAATAGGAACCTGTATTAAAAAGTCCATAAATAGATGGAGTATAAGTTAGGATAAATTTCGGTGTTGACATTTTTAATTTCTGTCAATCTGTTGACGAGATATTTCACTTTTAAGTTTGGGTCAGGAAAGAGTAGTGGATCATTTGTGTGACAACACGGCGCGTGATTTTTAAATGATAATGTAACATTTTAGAACAATTTGTTTCTAAAATTTAAAAAAAAAAAAAAAAAAAAAAAATGTCAAAAATAGTCAATACTTTTTGAAAGAATGAGTATTTAACGATAAAAAAATCATCCGGTATACTGATTTCTCACTCAATCAGCAGTGATATTAAGATAAATTCTAGACACCGAATGGTCCTTTCAAAAATTAGTTGATAAAATCTTTATATTATCTAATACCTACATTTAGAGGGGGGCTAAGGGGGCTGCATAATATATGCATAATATTTAACGGTTTGAGTATTAATTATATTTTCAATTATTTTTTAACTAATGAAAGAACGTTTTCTATAAGAAGGAGCACTATGTCAGAAAATAGACTCAATGGGTGAGCCATAGCCATGAGACATAAATGTAAAAGATATAATTACTGCTTTTGCTCAAAATTCTAGGAGGATACAGCTATCAAAGGGGTGTAATAAGTATAGTGACAATATATGTCAAAGCATTATACACATTATACTCATAATATATCATTCTTATTTCACTATGAAATTGTCTTTATTAATTTGTATTTAAACTGTTACATAAAAACCTACTTCGAGGTGTCAAACTCCCTTACCTAAGTCTATGATTAAATCAAAAACATATTTAGCCCCTCCCCTATTCTAAAATCCTGGCTACGCCGCTGTCTACGTCTTGCATATAATATATTATATTGTATATTTCATTATTATAGGTGGGTATACTTGTGTTACATGATTAGGTGCAATGTACAATAGGTATAGTATTTCGTTGTTGGATAATCACAATAAAAAAAGAATAACACAAAGAGGTATTACCTATCATTAATAAAATGCATGATAATTACACGCATAGTTTTTTTACACTGTGAAGCCTTGTATAGTACACTGTTCTACTTATGTGTGGACATTTCTGGAGTATGTTTATCAACATTACTCGTTGGACAACCATAATATATCTATTATTACCCAGATTAAGTTCGATTCTTTCTACCATAACTACTTCCATTCAGTTCCTTGTAATATGTTTTATATTGGATATTCGTATAATATTATAATAATACCATCATTTAATTTGTTTTCTCTTTTTTACGCATTGTATATATATTTGATAATTAATTGTCGAGATAAAAATAAATGTTGAAAACAAAAAATCTCTAATAAAAAATTGAAATAAAACTACGTTAGTAGTGGGGAAACGGCAGTACGACAACGTATGAATAAAATAATCCAATTGTTTACGATTTTTAAAGCATTACAATTACTTACTTCAGTCGCCATAAATAAACCAATTGAACAGGCAGCTGCACATGACAAAAACGTAATTGTTGTACGCCATTTCCTTAATTTGAATGGATGCAAAGATATAATCCCGCTGACAACACAGTGCCATATTGCGATCTGTAACAATTGAATTCGTACAGAAAAAATAACTGGTGGTTCGACGTACTAGATAACAATGAATAGGTAGGTACAATTGATGATTTGACTTACCTGTTGTCCAATACCGAACATGATGAGTACGAAATAAAAAAGAACAGACCAAAATGGCGATATATTTTTAGCACCGATCATGGCAAACGTAGCCGGAAACAGTTCGGTGGCCAAGCGCATGGCTTGATAACCGCTTTCCTGAGGCATTCCCGGCACATTGTTTTTCATTGTTCTTTCACCTAACAACAGGCTACTGTGTTGCATCCACCGCACGGGCGTCAGATGTTTACGGACTTGGGGGGAATTATGTTTAAACAAAAAGATATAGGAACTCATCCGTTCTGAAAATAAATATGATTCGGTAAAAATGTATTAGTAAAATTATTTTATATTCGACAACGTCCTGAAAAGAGTAAAAAGACGACTCACCAAAAGAACTGGGTAGATAAACATATCCGTGTGCTTCCAAGAGTTGTACACAAGTATTAGCTAAAAACGCGGCCAATATGAGTACGGCTATTGTTAGTATGACCACTAACGAAGCGTCTCTATGTAATAAATGCTTTGGCCGATTGTGCGATGTGATTTGCATTGTGCATGCGCCGAGTATGCCCCACGTGAGAAACGTTTCTGTAAAAGCCGCCACCCAGCTCTGAAAATGTCGAAATACCGATATCAGAATACTATAGTCGTTAATTTTACACAGATAGTTTGTTTTGGACAATGACTGCGATTGTAAGATTAATTAAAGTCTAACGACGCATTTATGCGTTTCCCTCGGGACAAATATATCTTTGAATTAGATAATACAAACTTTAAACCTATGCAATTTGTACTTAGTGAAATGTATTCCATGGTACTTCGGGGAGTACAGATAATAGATATTATTGAGTACTGTTTATAATAATAAATAATATAGTGTTACCTTGGTATTGAGGAAAAATTCGCTCCAATCCGTTTCCGGGAAAATGTCGTGATGTTGGAATCCAATAATAGGTGCTAAACCCAACATTTTCGTGCACAACATGAACATACCGAACACGGGTACCAATGAGAACACACAAACCACTTTACTATAAGACTTTAAGCCTATATTATAAACATTCAAATGAGTTAAAACCATTGTGTATTAATAAAACGTCGTTTAAAACCATAACCGCTATATGTTATTAATTTATTATTACCTTTACTTAAACATATGAACACGATTGCCCATATGATCGTCAAATTTATGACCACGGGTAGTTTTAACGAATTATCGTTCATCTCGAGTTTTTCCACATACTTTCTTTGTAGAACTATGCTGTTAAAATAACCCGGTACCGTCTCTTCAATATTGTAACTGACGTTTGTAGAATAAGCCCAGGGCACGCCGTCTGCGAAATAATTAAGTCATTATTATCTACTTATAATAATGTTGATGCGACAATGTAACAATCGATTTGCTCGGTTCACACGATTTCCTATATACTAAATAAGTACCTTCTTTATATTCGTCGATCGGTTCAGCCCAACGGTAAATGTCCTGTTTCGTGATGAATGAATCGCGAAAATACGTAAACATCCACGAAATGCCAATTACGGTATAAGTGCCGATAAACGCTTGGGCTATGAGCAGTGCGATGCCAATTCCCTGCAATCGTAAATAAATTGATTAGGTTTTTTCACGCAATAGTAACTATTAGGGACATCCGAATCGGATGTACGCCACGCGTTATCCCGGTATATTGTTTTAGAGGTAACGACAACTCGCCTTAAATATCGGAGATATCCTCCACATGTCCATGATCCCAGCGCCTAGTAATTGACCAAGCGAACTGTGAAATGTAAACAGAGGTACGCCGACTAGCAACGATAACACTAGGAACTGCAGTATAAAGTTGGCTGTAAAAATAAGAAACACACATAAATATTATGTATACACAATAAAATATGTAAGAGTACGATAAAAAATAATTTCAGTACGATACGCGTAACGCATATGCCTTGATAGTTTTCAAGGACCGTACCGAGTTGCCAGAAGCAATTAGAATCGAGATAATTGGCCATCTGATTGTATTATCTTTGACAGTTAATGAGGCAATTTTAATATACAAAGTATTAAAAATATCACTAACCTCCAAATTGTACTGTGAGTATGGCGAACCGACTGATGTTAAAGGCTCCCAAAGTACAGCCGAGCGTGGCCAACACTGAACTGTACTTGTTGCTCCATTGGCCTAATGGGCTTTGTGACTCCTGTGACATCTCGTACGCTCTACAAATAAAAAAAAATTAACGTTACAATTATCTATAATTAATAATATGAAAAGTTGTTGAGATCGTGATTATAAGTATAATAATATAAGTAGTCCACACGTAAGTTCTTCGTTTAAATTTTGAGTTTGAACAGATTGTCGTTATTACGAATTATATAATATTTTTATTTTATTTGTTTTTTTATTGCGGTATATTTATTATGATATACACAGTGTAATATTAGTTAATTTTTAGTGTTATTTTACACCACTTAAATTATAGAAGAAATATCGTAAAAAAAATAGCTTACTAACACCAAAATTAATTTGTTTTGTGGACTTTCCCCGAAATTGGAAACTATTGCACTGTATGCATTGTGTCTGTTATATTTATCATAATATGTCTTTTTCTCGTTATTTTTTGACACTTTTAACGGTCCCTTTCGGGCCAAATTAGCATAAACTCGAATATTACAGTTTTTTTTTTTTTTTATGCAGATTAAATTGATATAGTTTTAGTAAAATTTTATTATGAATTTCATCATGTTGTCGTAAGTAGAGGGTGCTTTTTAGCTTTATATCCCTACAGATCCTCCAAATTAAGCCAGGAGGATGCAATTTTGTATATACATAGTGTTATTTTCGAAGATGAGCCATTTGAGGGTTTAAACATTCAACCCGTTCCTCAACTATTTGTATGCTCGAACTTTATGTTTTCACAGGAAATATCTCTACAGACTTAACAAAGTAAATAACGCGAACTAAATGTACAGAAAAAAATAGAACAAAATTTAATATTATAACGGCATCAAATTGACTGAGGGACTTTACCGCTCACTGGTATTTTTTATATCCTATTAAAGGTGAAGTATGTCATTTTTAATCGAAATAAACAAAAAACTCTAAATAAAAGTATCCCCTAACCGTGAGAACATTTTTTTGGGCTGTAAAAAACAACGTGATGATCTTGGTGCCGATAATCTTCAGTACGACATGTCGTCTATTCCCTGGTATAAATGTACATACTATGTAATTGGACAAAAGAATTAAGAAACGAATATCAAGGACAACACCATATAAATCAACAAACTATGTAATCGCATTACTCGCTTCGTAATTAATATAAATTAATTGCATAAATAGTTTAACAATAAAATATAATACTTAATTTAATATTATTAGTAATATAGGTACTTACTTACCTATAAATTGATTTTAACCGTTTTAACGAAATTTCAAAATTCTTAAACATAGTTTTTCACATGAGTGTTTGTTAAATTAGTTATGGAATGTTACACAACAAGTCAAAACCTTAAATTTTAAAATTAATTACGCATTGAAAAACAATATAACCGTGGGAGCCGTGGGAAAAAAATAATATTATATAGAACACGCTTTCTGGAAGCCTACTTTGGTTTGAGAAAAAAAAAAAACGAGAGTGTAAAAGATGATCTTATAATATATTTAATTGTTTATATATACGAAACAGCGTGATTCGAACAATAGTGTTGAATTTCCATTATCCATCAATACATCAGTGGAACAATAACTTATTTTCTAACCTTCAATTTGCGTATGTATGAAAAACCGTGGATATAATAGTTGCCGACCTTGAAATTTTGATAACTTTGCATCGGAAATTAAATTAATTACTTAGAATAAATGTTTAGTGTCCTCACTCGATTTTAAAATACATACATATAAAACCGGTCACAATGATAATTTTTTACGTATAGGTAACACGAACCGGTTATAGATTTTATTTAATAATATATCTACAGTTCATATACACGCACCTCGCTCGGTTAAATTTTTGCGAATTAAATATAAAAATGCTTGCTAAAAAAACAATTGCCATTTAAAATGCGTACAAAATAAGGCGAAACACGTGCCTTTTTTCTTCAGACTAATTGCTTAAGCACTATTACTTATGAATAATCTCAAACAGTGCAATTGTATAGGTGCCATACTCAGTGGATGTATAATAATTGAAATAAGTACAATAGGTGTAATAGGTGTAATAGGTGCAATAGGTGCAGTATAGTATGTGTACGGGAATGTATATCAATACAAAACCGATACTAAACTATAATATGAAACGAAATAAAATTCCTTGCCGAATATTAATTTAGTAATATTGTAGTCAGTATGGCGGTTATATGATTTTGTCATAGAGGGGAGGGGATGAGACTGTTTTTTTAACAACAAGTATTATAATTTATTATAATAAATAAATAATATAACATATTATTATTAAAAACGTTAGAGTAACTCCCCCCCCTAGCTGCTAGTGTATGAGATAATTCAAAAAATTACTTTAGGTATGTATTTAAGACTATTAGGCAGAGCAGATAGTATGTTTAAAATATTTTATTTTTTTCTTGTTTGAACCAGTATTTTAAACAGCATACAATACAGCTGTATGTCACGAATTAAAATGTTTATAATCAAAACAAATTACTGCTTTAAAACGTTACCTTTTTAGTTGTTTTAATTGGTCCATTTAATACACAGTGGAAATTTAAAATTGTTATTTCTTATTGAGAAATAATAATTTTATACGTGGGTTTATTAATGTAAATTGATAGGGGTGTGGTACCATCCGGTTTTAAATTTAAAAAATATGTGCGTGTGTGTGTGTGTGTATGTGTGTATGCGTTTTAGAACACACATAGAATCATGGAAAAACAAATTGTTTAAAAAAAAATACTGTTTTAAACGTTTAAAATACAGTTTTTTTATAAAAAAAAAAAAAATCAACTATTTACTCTATTATTAGGTGGTAGGTATGAAACGAGCGATAATCGTTAAAATAACGACACATACACACACTGATCACGCAACAGTAACAATATCGCATTATTAAAACATTCGTTTGTTAATTATTATTGACGACAATATAACGCGATCGAGTTTTTGTGTTTGTCAGACTATACAATAATAACTGTATAGGTGTTATTGTGTTTTGTCCATGCGTCACAATATATTTTTACGACACCAATGTCGGTCTTTATTTTCAATATTATATACCGTTATCAGTCGCACGGTTTTCAGTTACTCTGCGTTGTATTCCAGATACGATCGTTTCCGATCGCCACCATCAATACAATATTCGTTTTACTCGTATATGGCCACTATGGAAGTATTTTCGATAGTGTGTACAACGAATCACGTATGTACTTATGGGTATACCTATTTACAGGTATGCCACAAAAACGAGTCTGCCTAAATTAACAAACACAAAACCATTATTGCATTTTGATGACAATTGTTCGATCGTTTCGAAAACTGTGCCTACGGTTTCTATACATTAAAAAGAAGAAGGGGAGGGATTTAATCGAATTTGTAATTTATTTTCAAAATATCGCAATAATTTTCATTTTAGTCCTTCTTCACAAACACTATTGAAACGAAAAATCGTCCCTCTTACGGACAATGTGAATGAGGTTAATTGATGTGAACTGGAAGAAAAAAGAGAAATATTCACACGCGTCTAATTTATTATGCATAATATAGGTAACCTAATCCGATAAAACGGGGGGGAAAAAACACAGTAAATTAAACCCTCGGTTCTCGCGATAAAACAAAAAAAGATACTGCATTGGATATTTAGAAAGGAGGGCGTAAAAATTGTAACTCATAATATATTCAAAAAACCGAAGAGTCCTTAGAACAAATCTTTAAATCAATCATACATTGTTTTTGTTCTTTTGTTCTTAGAGGCCAAATTTTAACGACTCGGTAATTATTGTTCTATTCTTTGTAACGATATTTGTATAATTTACACTTATAATAATATGTAGTGTTATGTGTGCGCAATAAATAGTATCATCTATATGTCATGATATAATATAAAAATGTTCTTTTTAACGAAAAAATAATCGATGTAATCAACTTTTCATTTTTCCGCACATTTAAAATAAACGTTTACTTTTCAAACACTTGACACTTCATACAATATTTTACCATAACTACAAAACAGCAGTAGGTATTTTACTCATATTGTTATAGTAGCCCGTACACGTAATTTAACGAAAAATAATTTTTAAAAATATATAATTGCGTTTCTCCCTGCGGTTCCCAGTAAATCCTCGTTTACGTCCATATCACAGTTAACCGTTTTTGTACTTATCCTTTCCTCGCCAAATCTAAATTAATTTGGCCGTGCACAATATTAGACGAAAAAAAATGAATTTTCTCATGTCTACCACCTATCCGCAATTAACCGCCGTTGCCCGGTAAGTAATTTTTCAAAAGATATGGCCGCGACGATTGGATTAACTACGCAATAACAACAGTTAAAAAAAAAACCGAAAACTCAACATCAGCAATCCGTGATCGGAAATTCGGCTTCGGGGTGCACACGAAGCCGTTCGTCCATTACCGTACAGGAATTTTAATATTTATATTATTATTTATTATAGATGTTCACACTTACTCGTCAGCGCATTCTCGTACGTCGATAATGCTTCCATATCGATTGGTGATAACTTCGAAACGTGGCATTTAAGTAAGATCGCGTCAACACGTTCAAACTTAAATCTCCGAGCGCACAAGCAAATCGCACCTAACTTAAACTAACACCGGTCCTCATTTAAACATGGTCACTGGACTAATGAACGTCGGTTCAGTTATTTCAGGATCAAGGAAAATTAGTTATGCCCGTTAAATGGCTGGCGAATGAATTCTATGCAAAAATCGTGTTTTTTTTTTTTGTTTTTTTTTTTTTAATCACCAAGGACATCAACTGCGTGTATTAAACGCGGAACTTGAGAATTTTACGTGATCGCCGGTTTGCACATTTCGTTGCGATCACACTGTATACCTGGACAGAGATCCTGAATATCATTTGTGATGCCTATAAAAAAAATTTAAAAATACATTTTTTTTTTTTCTTTACAAGGAAACGGTAGATACTCGCAGCGAAGTGAGACGCACTGAAGACAATATTTCTACATTATGATAATAAATACTATCGAGCGCGTCGGACCGGCAGTGATTAGATTTTCAGTCTCCGCGATAGTCCGTCCGGTCTCTCATTTCTCTCGGGTATCGCGGTTGACCTAATAAGGGACCGGTCACGAAGTTCCTGGTCTCGTTATTTATATTATTTTAAATATATATATATATATATATATATATATGTAATGTATATATACGAAGAGTTTCGTACGGATTCGAATAATTCATCATACTATACGCATAGACGGCCGGAGGATACAACAATGAAAGACAACAAAAAAATTTATCTTTCCTTTATGCGTATAGGTATGGTATACAATTTTTTTTTTTTTTTTCGAGACCTACGGATATACGCATGCGCTTGCACGTGTATACATGGACACACGCGCGAGCGCGTTATTATATTACACGAGAATGTGACCATTATGTGACCCAGATATGTGCAACGAGAGAGGAGATTCAAAGAGGAAAACTAAAAAAAAGAGGACACTAACAAAATCGCGTACAGGTACACAATAACGAATATCTATAACGATTAATGATAAGGGAATTTTATTATAAATTGCATCGCGCGACACCGTTTATCGGTAATTCGACACGACTAGCTATATAATTATATAGGTGTCGAGTTTCACCAGATGGCCAGTCGAACAACGCGAGTAACGCGATACGACTTTGTCTATTTTTCTTTATGAAGACGACGACAGAGCTACCGAGGGATAGTCGTGACACTTATTCGTGTGACTTCTTCCCTTCGGTAGAATTTTATCAGCGCGATTAATTTTGATTAGAACTTCCGATATCCAGACTGCAGCGCGATAATATTACCAACACCCACTTCGAATTTAAAAAAAATATATATATGTTTTCGCGACTTTGCGCGAGAGTAGATATAATAACAATGATAATAACATCTACTCTACCTACTTATGGCTAAGCTATGGTCTATCATATATTTCCAGCGATAAATCTAGTGAATATTATTTTAACTATAGTTGTATGCTCGTTATAAGTGGCGGGTTATAACTATGACGAAAACTTTTTTCACATACGAATTCCAACGAAACCAAAGTTTTATTTCATTGGGAAAGTCTAAACAAAACGTACGAAAGTATTTTAATTACAATTAAGTACAAAAATTGAGCACTGACCTATAAAATAGATTGAAATATAAATAGTATTGTATGAATATTAAGATCAAGTGATAATAATTTATTGTTCGTCAAGCTGATAAAAGTCGACTGACACAACCAATACACTCCTGATTTGCAATTAAAGTTTAAGAAATCGGGTGCACTGTGACACAGAGTTAAATTTCTGCAGTCGTAATTATCACAACGAATAAATTATAGACATGGGCGCCCATAGGCGGGGGCAAAACGGGGCATCTGCCCCCCCCCCCTTGGACTTTAAAATTTAAAATATAATTTTATTTTAAGTACTTTTTGGTGTCTAATTTTATCATAACGCCCCTTTCTAATAAATTTCATGCGGGCGCTTATGGTCATATACCTAACCTTACTAACGAACGATAAGAAAAATTACGTAACCCAGAACGTATATTGCGACGTTTAAATTGAAATCGGAGTTTAATCACAAATTATAAAATTTAAAGAATTAAAACTATAACTATTTAAGAAGGTAAAACGACTATGGCAGACAATTTTTTCTTTTTTAGACAATTTTGCCACGTATAGCCCTCGAAAATATTCTCCTCTTAAAAGTTTTTTTGTTTGTATTTAAACTGAAATTTCAACCTTAAAGCCACGATTTACGTTATGAGTGTTTAAGAGAAAAACCACACAGACAGACATATCTAGCAGTTCATATAATATAAGATTTCATATACGATTAACGAATATACATCTAAATATGACTCGACACTTATATAGATACCCCGCGTTAGTTTTTGCCCATAAACAATCAGCATTTTCGGTTCATGAATTTGTTCGCCGAAAAAAAATTCTAACGACGGTTCCTCCTCTCTATTAGCTAGCGCTGATAATGTTCGTGGGATTTTTAACGCATTTCGTATACCCTCCAAAACACCACTTATACAATGTTTGCATGTACCTATAATTTCAGGTGCGTGTACGTAATTTTTTTTAAAGAGGTTTAGGTATTTCGCAATCGAAATTTTAAGAATATACGCCAAATTAAGACGTAATAACGACACACTCTAACTCCATAATAGTAATATATAACTATACTGAGGAGGACGGTGGAGCTAGGCGATACACGTGTCCAAATTAGCGTCAGACTTTTGTGCCGTTCGTGTAATGCGTGTCATATATTCGCGTAGTTTAGTAAAATGACTAATGGGATTCGTATATTTATTATCGGCTGTAGGATTTGTTTGTATTCAAAACGTTACGCGATTCGCGATCTCCCATTATTACGAGCCGGCTTGTGTGTGCGTGTTTTTTTTTTTTTTTGTACTTACATTCGGATCATGCGTATTTTAATTCCTATTGTTTTTTCGTGCGGTGAATACTTTGCGGGGCGTTAAAATTTCCGGCCCAAAGTGTGTGGCGAACAATGCCCGCGCCGCAAACAACATCCCGTAGGTAGGCATTATTTCGTTTTAATGTTATTATTTTTGCGACCGCCTGTTAGGAATACTAATAACAACGTCCGCGACGGGCCGTCTGTGCAAGACCGAAAAATAGATGTAAACACGTTCGTTTCAAAACACTGCAAGTATACTTAGTAGTTATAAAGTCGAAAATGAACAGTAATGTTTTAAAATGTATTTCTTTGATCTGTAATAACGACGAGTATATTATATTCGGTATTGTTGAAAAAAAAAAATGGCTGATTATTTGTAATGGGCGTCCCACTGTTTTAGGAGGGAAGTTGAAAGACAGGATATATCGAGTGATTTAATTTATACGTGTACGCAACGAAAAACGATTCTGGGTGAAGTATATTTATAATCGTATTTGTTCTCTTATCGGTAAGGTAAATCAGAAATAAACAAAAATTATATAAAAATAAAAATCGCTAATTCTTTCCGTTTATTAAGAAAACTACTACAAAGAAAATCAAAATATGACCAACACAATGTACACGAACAAATCGAAATGATACAACATCCTATACGAGTTTTGATTGGGTCAAGATTTTTAAAGTAAAACCAACACACCTCTCGTTTCTGTCAAAATCTAAACATTTTAAAATAAACGAAAAATATTAATTTTAATTAAGCCATTAATTATTGATCCGGTGAAACCCAAGTAGGGACGTACGGTCGACAAGGATAATAAAGGAGTAGTGCCAATAAACTTATAATCATTTTCCACGTAGTGAAAGTGTCTATATTTTCACCGTATATATACGTGATGCGAGCACGATGGTTCAAAGAGAAAATGTTCTAGACGGTTAATTAAATACGTTTTTTTTTTCTTTTTTGTTTTTATTTGTTTACGGGTGACGAAAAAAAAACATCTAAGGTATATTAATATTTTCAAATTTTTGCGTTATTTTTCGAAAGTAATAATTTTGTCCGTCGTATTATAGGTACATCAAAGTTAACGAAAAGCATCGTGCGCACATCACTGGTACGACGGCGTTTGAAAGGTTTTGAACTTTTGTGCGCCTCTCCTTGAACAATAAATCATAATATATTCGGCCCGTACAAGAACACGTCGGAATTCGCAATGTGCGTGTGTGCTTTTTCGGCTTGAACGCGTTCGACCTCAACCCAAATATAGGTATATACGATGTATACGCGGGTACGCCGGACGAACATTCTTTTCGCGTGTGCCTGATCGGCAATTGTCGAACAGAAAAGTAAAAAAAAAAAAAAAAAAAAAAAAACAAACATCAGAATAGAACAAACAAGGTGGCCCGCACGGAGAAATCGGTCGGCTAGAAAACCGCTCGCGGTGAAACCGACCGGCGACGGGCCGAAACGGAAATCGTCGACCGTTCTATGCGTGCGCCTGCCTACCTATACGTATGCGTATATCCCGTAGACGACAAAAGACAAAAAGTCGAAGAGTTTAGGGATAACATTACGTGACAGTGTCCGTAGTGACATTACGGCGGGCGCCTAAACGATAAGAGACGGACCGGACCGGACCCCGCGGCGCGGCCGATTGATGTTTTCGAAACGCAACGTCGCGCGGGGCTGTGAACACCGAAAGTGACGAACCGCGAACCTGCCGCGTGCCGCCGGAAGACGCGGTGCTTAAAATATTATTATTTACTTGGTGAGGTATACGATCGAAACGTAAAACATCCGGGTCGAGTATACTGCAGTGTGTGCGTACACAATAATAATAACTATTGCGATTAGAATAGGCGGCGTATATATTATGTGTACGGTATAGCGCGCGCGTGCGCGGACCACGGCGGTTTGTTACTTGGTTTCCGGGTGACTTATTATTATGAGGACAAATGTTTGCGATTGATAATGAAAAAACGCGCGAGACACGACGGATTAAAAATAAAACGAACACCGCGACACAACGAGCGCGACGACCACACGACGGCGCACAACAACCGGTTCGGCGGACTGACGAGACGGGTCTGCGCGCGAGCGCGGAGTAGTGCCGCGGCTCGTCTCGCGCGCGCGAACCGCCGCCGCCGCCATTGTCACCGCCGCCGCCGCCGCCGCCGCCGCCGCCGCGTCCCGTTAGACACCGTACACGAGATATCGCCGCAATACAGCCGATAATAATATTAATAACTGTACGGTAGATTTATAGGGGGAAAAAAAACCGTATACGTATAGTATAACAATAATAATATAATAATAATAAAAAAAAAATAATAATAACTCCCGTCTCGACGCAACACAAGCCGGACGTCGTCGTTGTCGCGCGGCGCGATTTTTTTTTTCTCCTCCGCGCGCGCAGACGGGGTTAAGGCAGTTCAAGTGCTCGCGCGCGAAGGGCACGGCTACGCGGGCCCGTTCCGGGGAACGGCCAGTTCGCGCGGCGGCGGCGGCGGCGAGATTCGTTTTTTAAACGTTTTTTTTTTTTTTTCTTCCTCTCGCTCTCTCTCCCGCCGGACAGACGACGACGACGATGTTAGCTCCGGCCCGGAACTCCGATTTTTCCGGAGTGTTGCGTCCCCGTTTCTCCGGAAGCGACTGCCGTCCAGTCGGTTAGGTTCCCTCGCAGTTTTCTCGACGTGTTTTGGAACGTATAGGAAAAACGGGTAGTTTCGGTACTATGGATTTCGGTTGGAAAATAATAGCAGACGCCTGAAATGTTCGCCGATACTTACAAGTATCTTATATTATGTTACTCTTTCCTAAACGCGGTAAAGGGTTCATTCTCGACCGATTTATAAACGTTTTACATTTTTTTCTTCGCCTTATTGGCTATTAAAATTTTGGCGCCGTTAATAATAATAATATTGCGGTCGTAAAAATCATAGACACGAATAAATAAATACCTAGAGGTATTGATAAACGGACAGCGCTCGAAGGAGAAAACGGAAAAACAATAGTCGAGGGCAGTCCTGGAAGAAATAATCCGATTATCTTATTTACGCTATGAAATCGTCAGTGCTTTACTTATCTATCAGCTTAATGTGACGGTTGGACGATATGGTCCACGATCATTATAAACAATCGTGCTATGAATATTCAAAATCAATTGCATGGCTTAATAAAAACACAATGAAATTCTACCCGTGATTGCCCTTAACTATCGGTATCCTTCTCGCTCAATATTGTTCACCTAAACGGGGATCGAGAAAAGCATAGTCTATATAGTTGTCAACATGCGTCTATTATGAAAATACTGCTCGCGTATCATATTGTAATGACGACAAAACGTAATAATCTATATGGTGTTATGATATATAACACCATATATTTCGCGGCTTGGATTCGTTTTTTTTCACTTTCGAAATGTCATTGTTAATTTTGTTTTTTACCGAACAAATTTACCGCGGTATTATATACTGCAGTGAAACAACATGGTATTACAAATTCAAATAATATGCTAAAGACCGCGAAAAAGTCGTATCCAAACGTATCCCAATAAATATAATATACGAATATGTGTACATCATTAATTAAGTAGACTGTTCCGACCGAACCAGATACGTATTTACATGTTTGATGCCTTTTTATATAAAAACAGATTTTATTACAATACACTGAGATTTCGAACGGTATAATTTGCACACGTTGTGCTCTAAAAAACACATACAATTTTTGACACTGCTTGGCAAGTGTAAAATGTAAGATGGAGTTAATATATACATATATTCTTTTTATACTTACTTTCCGATACAAATGTTTAATATATTTGAGTAAATTATCAGTTATAGATCACAATACTCGTGATAGTGTTTGATTCGAAAATCGAATTAAAATAATTCTAATAAAAGTATCCGCGACGAATTTGACTTAATTCGATGTGTTTAGTGCGATAGCACAATAGCAAGACCACGAATTACTAATTGTTTACATTGCAGTAAAACGTCTCGTTTTAGAAAATTATAAATTAATTAATATCAAATCTTCTATCAAACACTAGAATTATACTATTTCAGTGAGCAAAGGTAACTATTCCGTTATATTGAAATGTATTTATATCGAGATTAGTATAAATTCGTCTAGTAGTTAGTTTTATAAATGTCGTTTATAGTTTCTTTAAAAAACGACGACACGTAATTATTTATGTTGATTTTGAAATCCGTATGGATTATCTAAATGTTACATCGATACCGTTTTATATTTCTCTCGTGGACAGGATGTACCCGAATGTATATAGTAATGGTTGTTAGAAAATAGTATTAATGATACTTATGTAAAGCGAGATTAACCCATTGTATGTGGAAATTATGAAAACAGCGTTTACGATAGCGATAAAAGTCGTTGAAAACAGCAAGTAACGCGGTTTAATCGGCTTTGTAAACTACCTATTGAGCTATTCTGACCTAAATTGCATATTACTTGCTATTATCATACCTTCGATTGGTATTTTCGTTTATTAATTCGTAAATCACATTTCGCCGGGCTCAATACAATATTGTGTTCCCGTGGAGAAATGTGTGGGTCAATCATGTATGTGTATGATATTATATCGAGCGCGGAGTTAAAAGACAAGACCCGTTTTACGAGACGGGTCGGAATAACGAGGACAACGGACGCTCGTGTATGAATAATCTTGTGTTTTTATTGTTTTCGTAACGGCCGTGTAAATAATACAAGCATGTATGCGAACAGTGAAAAAAAAAAACCGAAAAATCAGAACACGCAAATGTATATCGCAGATGGATCGCGCGCTACATATAAACCGACGATAACCTTCTATATTAATATAATACTTTTTAACGTGTACATATATATATACATTATATCCCGAGTAAATAGTGCGTAAAATATCTTGCGGTCGATCTGTGGCCGGAATAATGGATCGAAGACGAAAAAAAAAAACCCCCCGATTTCAAATATAGATAGTGGCGTGCGTATAATAATGAAAAAAAAAAAAAATCAATTCATATAGGACGCACTCAAGTTCAGGTTCAAAGACCCCGAGCGTGTTATGCGTTTTTTTCGACGACAACGGTGTCGAGGGTATCCGCCATCCGGTATATTATATTCGTTAGATTTAATTACAATGTCACGTGCAACTATTACGATCGTTGACGCCTGATGGAGAGACCCTATTATAGCGGGTATGAACTTATTTATTCTACCGAAACACGCATTCTACATATATATATATCAGTGGCCTACTTTTGAAACGTTTTCGCAAAGGGGGCAAAGTATTAATTATTGTTATATTCCGTGTAATGAAAACAAACGTTCGTCACGCTAAAAATTAAGTTCTCTAAAGAGTGGAAATGCCTTTGTCGCCCTCGGGTACGCCACCATCAGCGCGTACATTAATACAGCTAGTACACAGAGTTATGTTCTACGACCTTTTTTAAAATACACAGACCGTTTAGAGAACTTTCGACAGAACGCGGACCACCTTGGTTTGAGAGACTTTACTTTTGCCATTTTCACATTTTTTTTCAAAGACTGACCAGACAACTAGTGTGCTTATAGTGTTTCCCTATTGTAGTTTATGATAATCTAATACGAGTAATATGATTTTTAAGCTTTTATTCTGGGACGGATACTTCAGTTACTCAGAACTATACGTCTTCGTCACTTGTGTCTAACCGATTCCTCCGGCTAATTTCTATCTGACTATAGACTAAAAATCCACGCTCGCACAAATTTTTTATAGAAAATACAAAATGATTCTTATAAGGCAATCATTCGGAGTTAAATATGTGATATTGCTCAGCAAGTGATCTTTCGCAACACTGATATTTTTTTTGTTTTTTCAATCTTTGGAATTTAAAAAAAAAATACAAATGTTTGTTGCCGTTGACCGTCAATTACAGGCTCGCGGAACACTGGTTGGGAACCACTGATATCCGAAAAGATTTCCGGGAAAAACGTTTTTCCTGATTGGCGATGGTTGAAATTCGCGATATTTCGACGACGTTATTTTGAGCAACCGTTGAACGAAAATATTTTTAAGTTTCTATATTCAATTTCAGTACACGTGAAACACGTTGTCGTGGCTATAGCAAAACGTGAAGAAAGTGACAACGAGAAGCTCTTTTCAGCATGAAACGAATCGCTATTGTTCCATAGAAATCGTTGTTTCGAATCGAAACCGAAAGTGTGTGCGCAGCGTTTACCGGAATGATGTCATACATCACGCATTATGGTAAAATAAGATTCTAATGAGTGCGAAAAATAACAAAAACCCTTCGCGGTGTGCCCGAAAACAATACGATTCGCGGTTTCGTTGACACTGAAATTTGTATGAACTTTTACAATCTGGCAACCGCAAAATAATTATACGAACAGCGTCGGTCAAGTGTGGTGTGAACGGTTTCTGTTAAATATTATTCAGTCAGTACACGAGTTAGTGTAAATAATAATACATAATAACATTGTAGTATTAATTTGCGTTAGATGTATTTCGAACGACAAAGACGAAATCTACCAACAAACACGTCAACTCGATTAATAATTATTGGCTAATTTCGCGATCGCTGAATATTGTATTGTAATATATTTTTGTTTATATACATTTCGAATAACACGCCTCTTAGACAATTTGATAAGACTAAATTTATTTTTTTTTTCATACTATACTCGAGTACATGGTATAATAATTATCACGCGACTCACATGCCTGACAGGAAACATTATATTATAATTCCATGACAACCCACATTAGTTCGATAATACAGTACATGCATGCACATCTTATCCAAGATGTATGCGTTATTATTGTCATGTATTATAATAGGTATAGATCGGGGGAACATTTGTAATTATTATGATCGATTTTAATTAACCTTGGATTTGTTCGAGACGCAAATAACACAATATAATTTATACAATAATAACATTGTGTCTTCAAGATTCAGCTTTACATACTATAATAAAGCCAGGAGGGGCGACTAGTAAAACGTAAGTTTTTAAGTTTTATTACTAAAACTTAGAAAGAAAAAATTGTAAAATTCTTAAAATCCGACGGCAAAATGGCCTTTCCCAATTGTGTCTTTCTGATTTTTGCTCGACGCATTCCCGCGTGAATATGTTCCTATAGAATATGCAATCGTATAAAAAACGGCGAACAAAGTAATGATTTACAATATACGAAACCGTCAAAACGCACTGGTATTTCATTGGTTTTATTGTTTGCATCATTACACATTTTATAGTATATCGCTTGTACATACGGTACTCTCAAATCTTAATATCGAAAGTCTGCAGCGAAAAATAATCATCAAGATTAAAAACTATGAAAAATAAAAGACGATTATGTCCGGAAAACGAATGAGGACGAAGATGCGAGTATTTGCACAGTATTAAAAAAGGAAAATCGAGAAATTTCGGAAAATTGAACGCACCCGTAAGGCCGTATCCGATGACGGTGATGACGGCAACAATTTTACAGATTCACATCCGGATAGGACGAGATCCTTGACGCTTCATCTTCAAAGATAATTAAGGAATAAGATGGATAAGCCCGAGCTTAAAATGTTTGATTCTTGAACGATAAGAAACTGAGGAGATTTTTACTACGGGCTAATAAGATAATACGGACTATAGGACACGCGTTATCAAAAACCCGGTCACGAAATGTTAAGGATACAATTGCAATGCACCAAAATTATTGCCAAGATTTTATAACATACCGTCTCCGATTGCTATAATTGTTTGCTCGTCGTTCGTTCAATTTAGCGACCCGGTGCCCAAGTTTAGCTAACTATCGAAATAGGTGTCTGCGATATTTGGTCATAAAACATGATCGTGGAAATATTCAAACAATAAAACAATGAGCACACGACTATTATCGGTATTATCACTACAATAAACATTCGGTCAACAGTCGGCGAACAATACGGTTTGACGACCGTCACATAGATTTCCCAACTAAGCGAACAGTTTTGGGCAATCTGGTTGCTTTCGGTCACTTCGCGAAAAAGCGCCTATTTTTATAATATTATTATTGTATTGTGCACGGTGTTTTTTCTCGTCGACTTCCCGTGACCGGCACACCGTTTTTCAGGACATTACGCGCATATTATTATTATGATATACCTATACAGTGTACAGTCATTTTGTTCCGGTCCACCGTGGAGGCATCGGAGTCGACTCAGTATAATAATAATATTGTTTTCCTCTTCATCGTCTCCGATTTGACGTTGTTGTTATTAAGATGAGGTCACACACGATCCACGGTTAAACGTGACAGTCGCTATCGTGAAACTTTAAGACCGTTATCGCCACAATTCGCTATATTATTATACGTTGACAACATCACTATAGACGTGATAATTGATAGAGTAATATTAATATAAAATTATTATTATTTTATTATTAAGGATTAAAAATGTTACATCCCAAATAAGTTAGCCACTATTCGAGTGAATATCTAATAGAGACACAATGTTTAATCATTGACTAAAAATGTGTTAATCAAAAGACTATCGGCGCTCGTTTTCCGTCGCCAAAAGTCATAGACGATGTTCACACGGCGACATTATTGCTATTATTGTACGACACTCACGATAACGGTTATCACGATACGGCAGTAGCTATCACATTTAACCAACATCGCGCGACCGCGGCTTTATGCGTAGTACCTGCAGCGGTAAACTTAAAACTATAACCCAGAAGCAACGCTATAATCGACCGGCCAGTACCCACCCACCGATATTTCCGAATATTCTCTATACATCTCTATGTTTTCGCCTACTTTTTGTTTTTAACTAAACGAGTACATATATTGAGTTATTTTCATACTGAACGCCCGCCCACCCCTAAGTCTTAAAAAATAATAAAACCGAGGACCAATCTCGTTTCGCGAAGACCGCATTCGTTTCGCCAATGTGGACTTGCGATACCTACATTCGTTTCGGCCGTGGGGACTAAATTGTTGCTGAATAATAAAGCCGTGAACAATTCGAGCGCTCGCGTTCCTGGTTTAGGCGACAAACGTCGAGGCCCGCCTACAGTGTCGCCAGCTACGCGGGACGCGCCAGCCGCAGAGTCACTTGTCCGTATGGTTTTGATCGTGTGTCGTATAATTTGAGTCGTAGGTCGATGCTCTTTTTGAATCGATTCCCACTCCTCGTTCACGCCGCGACGCGATGTGCATGTGCTATTGAGTAAGTGACACGTTATTATTGTTGTTTCGGATACCTACGTAACTTCCTGTGTGCCGCCATATCCACCGCTAGCCGACAACAGGGGTTTTTTTTGTCGAGCACGAAAAAAAAATGCGACATTATTGTTTGCCAAAAATGTATCATAATAATATATAATGTACGCGCACGCAGTTTTCAACTCCGGACAGTGCTGTTTAAAGATACGTTTTAGAATATCTAGATAAGGATCTCCTACGTCCTTATAGGAGATAATTGTTGCTAGTATGACATGGCTATAGAACACCGAGTAATATGGTAAAACGGGGAATAAAATATGACGGAAAACGTGAAGCGAGACGCAATGAAATGTTGTAAAGAAAGCTTTATGGCGACAACCGATGTTTCAGAAAAGGCGCAATAGAAATCGCTGCTTTTTGAGAAGTAGGCAATGTAAAATTGAAGACGACCACGGAAAAAAAAATATATTGCTGGAATAGTTATCTAGATAAAGACAAATAATCAGAAACTTTAATCTATAAAGAAAAAAAAGATAAGTTTGTTAATTACCTAAAAGTTACGAAAGTATACCAGCTGGATATGGTAGACAACAGTGGTTTTACGGGAAGGGTTTGAGGGGTTTGTACCCCTCCAGACTCCAAGTTTAGACCACGAAAAGTAGATTTTGTGTTATAATTTCTAAATTAAACTTTGTAGTTGATCAAAACAGATACATTGAAAGATACAAATACAACTGCATAGATTAAATAACATAGTTCCCGAGAATCAAATTATAAAATAAGAAAACAAACAATTTGTTTTCCTAATACCTTATATTTTACAATAATACAAAATAATCAATGAATTTATGTTAATTTAGAAAGTATTCAATTTCGTATTCCAATAATACACTAGCTGATATTTTTTTACAACTTATTTACTGGTACATGCTTATTGTTCTATATAAAATATAAAATCGATATTATTTCAAATTGTCAGTTAAACATAAATTAATATTATATAATATAGACTGCAGGTACAGAATGAAAAAATAAATTTAACTGGGCTTATTTTCCTCGAGACTTTTCCCCCATGACATTTGTTCCGCATTCCAGTTGAGGGCTCCGCTGAAGTTTCCTGCATCGCGCATAACGTCTTCGCGCATGTTAAAAAAGGATAATTTAGACTTTTTATTATTATTGTTTTCTTGTTTAAATCTGATATTAGTGTTATGCATATCAACATTTCTCGAGAAATATTTTCTATTCAAATCTGTGTTCAAAAGGAGGGGGAGGGTTCTATTTGAAAATCAAAAATATGTGCTTATTTAAGGTACATGGAATAGGGATACAAAATTAAAATTGGCTTTACAAAATAAAGCTTAAACAATTCCATAATGATTAGAAAAAATAGAAATAAAATTCACTTAAATCCTCTGATATAATTGCTGGTTCGTGATAAATAAAACCACCCTGTATATAAGGGTATTATTAGGTATTTAAAATTTTAAACAAACCACTAAATTAACGACAAACAAAGATTTATATCTCACGAATTTTTTCACGAGTTTTGTTCATAAAGCGAAGTGCAATTAGGTCATTAAGAGGACGTCACATCCGCGTGTGCTGTCTCAGTCTTACACACGCAAGACCTATTAAATTTTCATTGAGCAAAGACAGTTCTGTTCTGTTGGTTTTGATAAGTAAGCGTGGATCAAAATATTATCAAACTTAAAAATAAGAACATAATCTGTACAATAGCGTCTGTTTTTTCGGTATTCTTTCGATTTATAAGAGATATATAAATCCCTCTTGTACGTGGTATAATATGTTTGTATAATGTATATGAATGTGGAGTATTACAATAGTTTATAAAAATGCTTATATTATCTTGCTTAAAAATAAAAATGTCAAAAATAGCCGATGACGATGTATAGACAATGTTCTTACCTTTAATTATGACAATAGGACAACAACTACTTTAATATCATGACTGACAGCACGGAAGTATCCCTCCAAAACGAAAATTTGATATGCGTGATGATTAGACGGATACAGCAAGCAGGCGGTCACGAAGGCGTGGGGTGATCTTAAGAACTAGTCAAATATTTAATATACTAATATATATGAAACATTATAATTTATTGTATTGTTGTTACATAATATACATATGCACTAATTAAAAAGTATTACAAAGCGACACGAGAACTCGAATTTGAAAGCAAATACAAAAAAACAACAATTTTTTCGTAAATCAAGGTTAATTGATATTCACGTCTTGTAAAATATTTCAAGGGTCCTGATATTTTATTCTACAGTCGTCTAGGTTTAATTATATAATATATAAATGAATTATAAAATAAATACATATAGGTATGTTTACACCTATTAAAATAATAGATAATGACTAATAACGTAAAATCCATATGGTGCTTTGTACATCGCTATTGTCAAACAACAGAATTATACAAACAACATTTTTTGCTACCAGCATAGTCCATAGTATCTTTAATAATTAAATGATAATATTGAAATATTGAAATAAAATGAAAGACAAAAGGAATAAGGGAAAGAAGAATAGCGAAAAGGAGCGATGGTTAGACACGATTGAGACTTGATTATTGTTATGCGGATTACTGAGGTTTGTATATGAAGATCTGATGATCTATATGAATACCAGAAGATCTGGTCAAATTTAAATTTAGGACCGAAGTAACTGACCGAATAAACGAGACGAAAAGCGAGTGAAAAAAAAAATAAAGATAAAGTAAAATTTTGTTCGAATATTCACTTAAATATTATTGTAAACTATATTTACGAGAGAAGACCGTGTAGGTTATACCTAAATGGATTCCAAAAAGTAAAGTGGATAATAAGAAAATTGTATAAACGACGATAAATTGCAAATTAAATACGAAGACAGCTCCGTTTGTATACATTTATAGAAGTCATAACTTTCAAAAATCTCTATTTTCGTTTCATAATGCGTAGTAATATTCCCGCACAACTCCTGTATCGAGTCGAGTTCATTCAAAAAATAGGTTGTTTTATGCGTGAACAGGATTATGTGTTGAGAATTGCCTGTCCCATTCGGCCGGGAATATCAAAATATTCAACGTGAAAAAATATGTCTATTTTTTTTTTTTAAATAGAAAAAAAAAATGTTGTACGAGGAGAACTCCAAGTTTACGTTCATTTACGTTTGTGTTCCAAATTATTCCGTTCCACGTGTGATGACGCTCCGGAAAACGCCGGCCCCTCCAGACATAATGTCCGTCATACGAACTATCGGCGAGGCCGAATTAAACTTTCGGGAACAGTTCCCCCTCAAACCCTATGCTATTAAATTCCGTTTGTCGGTTCATATAAAACGGCAATCGCGTCGAAATAAAAACCACGTACACGTTCGTTATTGAAGCATTATGGGTATAGTGTAAATAACGAAAACATCGTTAAAACCGCAACGCGAACGAAAAACTGGTTCAGTTGTCACGAACGCTATCGTTATAATAATACATTATTACGTATGACGGTACACAAATAACGCTTGGCAATCTCTCGCAGCGTACTCGCGTAGCACGTCGTTTAACAAAGATCTCTGGCGTTCGTTTAAAAAACACGTGTTCCCATTGTTAACGGAAAATGATAACAATAATAGAATAATTATCGTGAAATCGCGCAAATACTGGAGTATAAACAATGTCGACGGCGCGGTGGCGGACGTATAAAGTGGGAGGGGAGTTCAACCTCCCGCCCCCCGTCCACGAAATTACGGGACCGGTTATTAAAAAACGTAAAACCGATAAAAAATTTAAAATATATAATAATAACGCGAATAATAATTGTTGAAAACTAACGGTATTAATTCTCGTTTTTCTTTCTTCTTTTTTTTTTTTTCTTTTTTTTTTTTTTTCCTAACCCCCGCGCCGAAATCGTTTCCCGTGTCCGTCGTTTTTTGACTATACATGGACATCCGAGAAAAATAAAACCATAATATACTTTACACATGTATCAATACGCGTGTGGGCGTGTATATTATGACCCGTTGCACGGCGTATTATATTATTATAATAAACGAAAAATACACACACACACACACACACACACACACACACACACACACACACACATACACACGTGCGCAGAGTTTATTGACCACGAAAATTACGTATTTTTTTACAGAATACTAAAATCTCACACCGTCTCCGTAGACGGAGCCAAAATAATTACAACCGCGGTACCGTTAGAAATATTGTACGCGCATAATACGATATCATTATTATACACGCTGCAGTGATGATATGAACGTGTGCAGAAGACAATCAGATTTCAATCGGTTTTAAAAATCACATGCCTACAATTAAGTACTATACCTAAAACAGTTTGTCGTTTTTCACGTCTACCTATACCTATAATACCCATACGGCCATGCGTTACGTCATTATCCATTCAACGACATAGCACAGATTAAAAATACTAATACATACAATTTTCGTCCGTAAAACCGTCAAAAAAAAATGTATGAACATCATTTTTTAGCTTCAGAACTTAGCGGAGGATCTATTGGTTTTACTATGATGTACTATGGACGTATCTGTTCCTCTAAACTTATACCGTGTAAACTCTGTTTTACTTCTACTTATCCTTAGTCGCTTTTATCCAAGTGCTACTTTATATTCCTCGAGCATATTACTAAATGCTTCGGATTTTCCTTGCTTCAAAAATTATTGAAATATTCGAAAACAGTGTGTACCATTTCAAAGACGTTCATTGTTATTAAAACATATGATATACATAAGTAGATATACATACCATAAGTATATACTTTTTACTAAACCGCGGTATAATTTATGTTTATTTTTTAATTACGAAAAAAAATTGGTATTTTTTTAATAAATAACAATACAGCTACAATAGTGAATACGAACTCGAATAGTAAACACAATTCGTACTTAAATCGAATTTCCGTCGTGTTTTTGAATTTTTTTTTCCAATGGTATAACTTACCCAATGTGATTAAAGCGGGGAAAACTTCAAAGGGAAACTATATTAAACACCGAGCATTTTATTAACTAGATTCAAAATGCAACAATAAAGGTCACCTTTTATTTTTTGATCGGAGCAAGATTTCTGATAAAAAAGTTAACACGAAAAAAATCACAGATAGTAAAATCCAATAAATTTAAGTTAAATTTAAAAGACATCCTAAAAAGAAAACTCCTGACTACGGAACAGTGCATTAATCATTTTTCTCGATTTTTGTCTCGTTTTCATAGACTAACCCAAAAACTGCGCGTATTCTTATATAATATACACGAACCGACGAATACAAATTCGACAGCTCGCTGTCGGGTCAAACAAAAAAATACTCGAAGCGTACAACAACAAAAAAAAAAACTATAAAACATCGTGTGGGCACATAATAATGTAATTATTATTTCATTACATACGGTGATAATAATTTAATAGAAACGAACACTTCGACGTCTCGACGTTTTCCACGATATTTACCGAGAAAGTTGTCGTCAACACATTCAAATAATATGCTTAAGTGAAAACGCTTATTATTTTCCCCTCTGCCGTCCAATCTCGTAGGATAATAACAGTTTACGTTTACGCACTTCAAACTACGTATTTCTTCAAATGCGATGTCTGGTGGCAAGTACAAAGGCGAAACACAAACATATCGGTATACGGCGATAAATCACACGTGATAGAATTTTATTATTAATGGTGAGAAGCGAGGAGAATTGGGACACCGTAGCGGCGTTCGTTATCGAAAAAATTATCGAGGCTAATAAGAAGAATATTAGACAGACGATGGCGGCGAAAACGAGAAGACTAACAAACAAATTTATCAATAAATTATATTTTGCAAGGCGAATTCAAACGATAGAGCGGTTAGGTAAATAATGTAATGGTCGATAAACATCGAACGAATGTAACGCGACGATATCCGATGATAAACGATGCAAGATCAGCAAAAAATGGTAAAAGCGGCGAAAATAGGCGAAATCGATAGGTGTCGCCCACCCACCCTCTCCCGCCGGTTGCCGGCCCGTATGTAAAATTAAAATAAAAACTTATTTATTTTTTAGGAGGTCGGCGGAAATAGTTTTCGCTTCGACTATACGGCAATACGGTTGACCGATTGGAACACGCGACTAACTGCAAATGTACACGTTGCACTATAATTATTCATATTACAATATTATAGTCTCGTTTATACACGACGCAAAACGAAATGCAATTATTTGTTGTTACGTGGTTACTAGTCGATTATTGCCCCGTAAGTGTAGAGAATCGAATCGCGTTTCCAACCACGTGCGCGCGTACAAATCGCAAACACGCGTACGAAATCCGGCGATTACTTAAACCGGCCGCGGCTCTTGCAGAAGGTCAACACGTGGTGGCGAACGCAACATCCGCGGAGTGCCCACTAATATACAACGTCGATACGCGCGCGAGCAGTATGAATGCAATTACGCGACGAATGAAAAATAAAAAAAAAAAACAATCCAAACGGACGTATTTTTGTTTTGTTTTTCCGTAACGTATTTTGTGTTCGGGACGGAGACGTCGCCGCGGCTAATACGGTATGATCGCGAGAGGGGACGAGTAGGGCCGGTGAAACCGAACGGGTGATGAACCGGAATTTCACTGCACTGCAGTCGTCCGTGGTACAAACGAGAGAGTACCGCGCGAGTGACCGAGATTGTGGCGGAACCGCAGAAACACAACATTAATGTAATATTTGAAAAAACAAAAAAAAAACAAAACACCACAACACAACGCACGCGCGCACAACAAAGATGACCCGGATCCTGACCCGAAATCCTGACGACGAGTCGCGACGGACGTCGGGACACGAACAACAACACACGCCCACGTTTTCGTCTCCGTTCTCTCATGTTGTCGTTCGCGCGCGCGCGCGCGAGTCTGTCGGTCCGACAGGGCAATGCCGGACCCGGCTTGGACAAATACGCGTGTATATCGTATATTAGTAGATAGAAAAAAAAAAAAAACCAAAACAAAAAACCGAAACCGATTATTATACGCGACGCCCGTAACGACGTTATTATTAAATCGATCGCGCGAAACGTTCCGCGGAGAAAGTGCCGCGTTTGCCGACGTGCCGTAACGCAACGTCTCTGTTCGTAATTGTTGCGGTCCGGTTCAAATGTCACGACGGCGGTCCGGTTTGGCAGTAATATCGTTGTTGCGGACGTCGCGGCGCAATAACGTTCGCCTTACGACCACGGCGGTAGGCAACACAACGTACGCCCGCGCGTTAGTAGAACACTGCCTGCTAAGGGGGCGCGCCGAAAATCCACAACGTCAATAATAACCGTGAACAACACCGTCAATAATACGGTAACAGAGACAATAAACGTGTTTCTCCGTTGCGGTTAATCGCATCGTTCCCCCCCCCCCCCNCCCCCCCCCGAACAATCCGACGGACGTTATTCGAAACTGGTACGAGAACACGACCGCCGCGCACAGTAAGATGTGAATCGAGGGTTCGCACCGAATATAAAAAAACCGGCGGATATCAGTGCAACACGCGACGGTCGGCCGCCGACAGTAACAAATGCATTTATAATCTTGGGTCGTGTACTTCAATATATGTTTCGTTGTTTAAACTCGAAAGGCCGTCACGGTATTTTTTACCGTTATCTCTCTAACGGACAGCGGGTACAGTGAAAATGCGTCGACGTAAAACAAAGTAACATTACCATTAGAAAGATTTAGTTTTAAAACATGTATTACACAATTCATTGATGACGTAATTTCAGAGATAATCCAATAGGTTTTTTTTGAAAAAATTGATTGTTTAAAACATTACAGTTCTTTTTTTTAAAAATAGTAAGATGCTGTTGTCAATAACCGTCACTACACAGACAGCTTTTTTTTTTTTTTTATCTATGTTTCGCATAAATGTGAAAATCAGAATTTGTGTAACGAATGATCTCTGGAACTACTCAACCAATAGACATACGGGGGGGGGGGGGTTAATGAGTTGATGATAGAGTAAAACACGGAGCAGGTTTCAAACCTATTACCGATTCTGTGAGTTAATAAACAGTCGAATTGTTAATTTTGTATAAATAATCGATAAATACGCTAGAGCTCTGTGAACAATAAGTCTGTATCGCTGTTTAAATATGCCGAAAAAATAATGTCACGCACATTTATTAGTAATAAACTATTCAAAAAATTCGATTGACATTGATTTTTAATAATGTAATTCTGATGATTCGTTCAATCATTGATAGAACGTATTATATTATTGTACATTGTGCGCAGTAGGACCGATTTGCAATAAAAGTTGGATATATTATATTGCCTAAATTATGAATAGATTAATAGAATAATATTTTTTTTTTTTTAAAAAAAAAAAAAAACCCGATTGCACATGACGTGTGAAAATGTTTAGAAACGTCTACGAAAGCAAATGACTATATGGGCTAAAAGTTATACAATAAGTTATAAATATACATAACTCGAATCGATTAAATAAAACAAAATGACTAGATTTGAAGAAAAAAAGGAGCGACTTTATTAAATAAACGTCATATTATTTTACAGTCCGACATATATCCAGCTATAGCTACGTTTTAATATATATATATTTTTTTTTTTTTGTACGCGGAAACAAACAAACTCTTTAGGTAAAAAAAACAAACGTTTTTTTTCCCCCGCTTCTAGCCATACAATATAATATGAATAATGGATGTAATAGCGTGCGATTTGTATTGTTTAGCTGAGGATTATGTTCAATTGTACTAATAATAGGACGATATAGTACATATTTAATCATTATTATTGATTGTCGATAGATATTTTTTCTAACGTTAATAATTGTTACAGGTGACGTATAATAATCGTAGCAACACATTTTTGTTAAAATTATCCATGAACTAAAATGAAACTGAACAATGTTTTTTAAATAAACTAACATATATCTTTAGTCCCAGGGGGAAAGGGCCAGAGTCGATTTTGTATGATTGTCACTACAAGCAGATTAAATGTTGAGAATTTCTAAATGACACAATGGCTAAATGGCAATTGCATTTTTTTACCGAATAAAAAGTACATCGCAGTGACTCAAAATATTTTAATTTTCAGTATAACGTGTGTTATACACTTAGACCATTTAGACCAAAAAATTGTACAAGACGAGATTAGAAAAAATATTTAAAACCGACTTAAGCCCTTCTTTCCTGGGACAGAATATAGAAAATGCGGGAAATAATCACAGTATGCACCGTAAAAACTACAAAATAAAGGCCATTTTAGTCGGCGTCGCACCCGTCAGTTATTCTATAAATAATATGTCTACCTACAAATAAATCGTTTCACGTCGCACTTTTTTGGTTAATGGCTTTTTAAACGCATAGACTTTTGTTTACTTTACACTTACGATTAAATTGTGTTTGATCGACAGAAACGAGTATGCCGAAAATAAAATAATAAATAGGTAATATAGAGTTCATTTTTGTTTTTCCGTGGTCAAAAAATGTTACACGTCACGACATAACAGTTATACAACGTCCCGGAAAACGTAACAATTAGACAACCAGTTTGTTTTTTAAATGTATGTTTTAATATTAGTTATAGTAGTTACCTGTACTTATTGTAACGGTATTGAAACATAAAAAAATAAAACTTCAATAGAGCAGTATGGACGCAAATAAATAACAGACGTAAAAAAGTCTAAAAAAAAAAAAAGGTCAGAATAAGCTCGTTTGACGGATCTACCATTATATAAAGTGCATTTTACGTAATTCATGTATACGTTCATGTTCGTGCGAAAAACACGAATAATAAATCATAATTTCATGAACTATAAAAACCTTGACATTATTGGATTCTACACGAGTTCGATCGAATTTAGTTATACGCGTGTAACGTCTCAAGTTCACAAATTGGGGACGCATAAAACACGGGAAAATAATAACAGAGGAATTTAATAATTGGGAAAATAATGCTAATAACCATCAACCATTGGTTTCTAAAATATTTTTGTTATTTCGTAAAGTCTGTTACCTACCCGATACCGTCTTCTACAACAAATCGGGGTTTATTTTCTTTTAACTGGATATTATTTTCCCTGTATGTTACTGTGCTCCAACAAATCGTCTTTTTGCGGTTTGTGTCATAAATTGTTGAGTATTCTTATCGTACCAAACAAATTGTATCCACATAAAACCCAATGAAAACTAAACATTTCAAATAGCTATTTATAATTCAAAAAACGTTAGAATAATTTGAAAATTGCACCACGTTCTGTGATATTCTAACATAAGAGTACACTGTGAAAATGTCAGGTCTTCCCCCTTGTTTTGAGCTTTAGAGCAGTACGAAGTTGAGTTATTGACGTGCGAATTCCCGGAAGTTTTATAATTTCGGTAAATTCTCTGGAATATTCCCGATGCCGGAAATTTATTAGACAAATTGTAATTTGTATAGATATTGTTCAATAATTAATTCAACTTATAAGATATAGATGCAAGTTAATCGAACAGCTAATATTATACGCCCGAACATAATATTTTAGGAGAATAATCTGACGAGTTTTTGGCGATTCCAAATGACAAGTATACGAGTACAACATATTATACGAGTCTATACCTTAAGTTTTACACACGAATATCAGCGATTATTAGAGCTTGTCATAAGTCACACGGAAATAACAATAATACCGATCGCCCATTTTATTTAATACTATTTTTATTTTTTATTTAATATTTCCCCGCAGTGGTAGGGAAATATTCACCCTGTTGATGAGGGGGGGGGACGTTCCTTGAAAATCACGCGCTGCGCAATACGGGTTGTTGAATAATTATTATAATTATTTTTGTTTTTTTTTTGTTTTTGTCTACAAGACGCGGTCACCGCCCTACCAGTATTTCGATTGACCTTCGTTTTGATAACGACTAATGCCAATGGACGTTTACATCGACTCAAACCACTGTCTAAACAATGCGTATACCTTTAATGGTTGACCGTGATGGACGGCGTTATTATTTTCGTACTAATACGAAGGAAGGAAACGATTACGTTTTACGGAGACCGATTGCGACGGTTTTCCGACCAAAAACTTAAAGGACCTATAAAAAAAAAAAAAAAACTATAACGACCGTTCATTAAAAATACAAATAAATGTTTTGTTCCGACCCGGGTCTAATGCTTGCCGCTCCGTTAACGTTGTTTGAAACGGAAATTGCGAAACGTGCGCGAGTACAGTTAAACGCAGGTACGTATACAGTTATAATTATTTTAAAGATGGATTAACACGGATTTTTTTTTTTCACCTCAAGGACAGTCGGCGGTCTCTTATTGTTTTTCGTAAAACGTTTACACCAAAAATACGGGTCAACTCGGAAACAATATTTTATTGTTTTGTTACACAGTGTGTTTAACTGAAAAATCAACACGAATATTTCAGCCGGGCGGATTCAAATTGAACCGTGATTTTTTACATTACGATAAACTTTTTTTATTATCTCCCGAGTACAACGATAAAGCTATAGCGGTCGCTTTTCAAGCGTATATACTTGACCGCAAAAAACCAAATAAAAACCGAGCGAAAAGGCTTATAAACTATAAGCGATTTTATTGGCTATTTATTATAATTTATAATAAATAGTCGAAAAATCGCCTAAATGTTTTGAACGTTTCACGGCGTCTAGAAAGTACTGATTTGTAGATTCGATGAAAATTACAGGCCCACACGGTTATTATTCACCGAATTGCAAGAAAAAACAAAATCGAAAATAATAATAAATAAAAAAAAAAAAACAAAACCCGTTGACGCGCTGCACGTTCTCCGTACGTTTCGCCCCGGTCTACGCCCAGGGTTTTGCTCCTCGAGAAGTAAAAATAAAAAAACGCGTATCCTCGCGTTGCTCGAAATGCATCTCCGCCAGAGAGCGGCCGCTTGACACGAACCGCCAACGCGAATCTTTTTTTCTTTTTTTTTTTTTTTTTTTTCCCTCGTAATTATTATTTCGATCCGAACACGACGTACCGTCGACCGGCCCGCGAAACCGTTTGCCGCGAACGCGGTCGTTTGTCCGTGGCCCGTAAACGTAAAATAAAAAAAAAAAAAAAAACTGCGTGTCGAACGAACGCAGATCGACGCGTCGTCGGGCGCGCGACAACAAATAAATCCGCGCGGCAACAGCGGTCTCGCGTGCCGTCGTCCAACGCGCGCGGGAATATTTTGAAACACCGGAGCCGACGGGTGCGCGGCGGGCGAACAACACGCGCGCGCTGTAGTGGCGGCGGTACGCACCGTGCGAAACGCAAAACGTTTGCCGACGCGAAATCGTTACCGCGTGTGACGCGTCGCGAATATAAACGGAACAGTCCGGACGCACCCGGTTCGGAACCCGGGAAATAACAACGGACAATAATAGCGCGTGCGTGTGTCACATTACACTCGGTGTTCGCCGGGAATCGCGGAGCCGCGATGGACCGCGTTATGAATAACGAACGTTCGGCGATTGTTGGACCGCCGTGATTATGTCTGAAACAGTGGTCTGTTGCCGGTGAACTCGGACCGATTGTGTCACGCCATCACGCGATTTGCGGAGAGAGGAAAAACAAAACACGAGTCTCCGCAATGTCAACACACTTTAGAACCGATATTATGAACGATACCGGAACGCCGTGAAACACCGACGTCACACGAAATAATGCTAAACACAATTTCGAAAAACCCGGTCCCGGAAAATAACACCGCGGTTATTCATTGTCCGTCGTGAAATCGCGGCATTATGAAAACGACGCCGATTGTACACACAAACACACATTAAAAAATAAAAATATAAAAAAAAGACTGAAATACACCGCGCGACGGGCGGGCCCCGCTGTTGCAGTTGAGAAATCGGGAAGGTATAGGATTTAGGAGGGGGATTTAACGTGTATCCGTACGCAGCGATTGATCTTTGCTGACGAAAAACGATTCTGAGCGGAGTTCGGTTGTGGGTATACGCGTTTTGGATGGCCGTCATTTCCACGATTTTCGTCGAAATTCGATCTCGAAACAACGCGAAAAAAAACCCGACGCATACAAACTCAAAATTGTTTTTTTAGCCCACCGAATTCGACTGATAATGTACCTCGAGTTAAATTTCCGAGTGTTTCTCTTAAGTCATATTTTTTTTCTTTCGATCGGTTAGCCGCCGCTATCGAAGCTTCTCTGTTTAAACTCAACTCCTTTAAAGCTCGGTAACTACCCATACCCATATCCTTATAAGTCATAAAATCCGCGAAAAAATTATTAACAAAACCAACACATTCCTCGCTTCGCTCAGAATCTAAAACCGTAAAAAACCTATTCAAAGCTAAAAATGAATAGTTCACCTAACCTATTCGATGTGTACTTGTTTCGCGGGGTTTTACCATGGCGGGTGCTGTTTATTTTTCGGACTGTCGTCTTCGAACCACTTCTTTTCCCGAAAACTCGCCCCGATCATTAACTCCAAAGGTTCATGATTTCTGGTAGGAAATTTTAAATATATGTTTCGGCGCATTGAAGTAGTAATTTTTTGATCCCTGTTGTAGTTTTCGTGATTACGCAATTACGGTTTCTATTATTTTCAATTTTGTATTTTTAAATTAAAATTCAGTGAACAATTATCGCAGAGACCCGGCATTTTCACCGAACACTACTCATACTAGCCTTTTCTAGACGCGATAAAATTTCCAAAACGTTCTGGCGTTTTTCCAGGAGCAAATATCATTTAGCTATTTGAAAATGACCGGTTTTTTTTCTTTTTTTTTTTTTGTATAGGTTTTATTCGTTATAGCGGCGAGTACCAGTGTTTTTAACAATAACAATTACAAGTGTACTTAATAACAGACTATTGGTGTATTAGACGATTTAACCAAGTTAAAAGTCCAATGCAACGTCGATTGCATATTATTTTTTGCGAAAATACCCGTTTACAAATACCATTATCAGACATAATGCCATTGTGCGAAAACGAAACGGAAACATTATGTAGGTATATACTCGGATACTGGAGCCTGGTGGCGAACAACCGTTACGCGAAAATTATAAAATAATACGTAATTCACGTGCCAAACGGTGGCGGTGACGATAGTGAAGATTCGTCACGTCGAGTTTCCGTCTCGGAACTTGTACCGCGGTCAAAAACACGGGACGTTACCGTGTATACCGCGATGATGGGTACGCGCCGAGCCGAAGAAAATACTCGCGACATCGGTTTTTTTTTTTTTTTTCCCGTTATAAACAGCCGCCGGGGAAACGTTGTGTTTTCGCGAAAAGAATGACGACGACGGCGATGATGATAATAATAATAATAATGTAATGATAAATAACGTTATGCTAACGCGTAAAATAATACGTACGTTACACGGCGATCGAATCGAATTGAGATACCGGCAGATTATTTCGGTCGCTTGTATCAAACGCGCGCATTGTGACCTTTGTATTTTTTTATCGTTTACGACCGCGCCGTTTCCCCCGACGCCGAATAACAATCAATCGAGTAAACAAAACGTTATAATAGTATTGTGATATCGTGCGTGCGTGTGTGTGTGCGTGCGTGCGTGCGTGCGCACAACAGCACACACGACACTTAACGGTGGCATTATTGTCGGATAAACTAAATTAACGTAAGTCGGTCCGTCCAATAAACGTTGCGCTGAAAATAAAACGCCCGTCTTAAAGTATTAATAATAATGGTCGTTTAACGTTGCCGGCAATATTGGCAACGGATTTTTTCAATTTTTTCGCGACGAATCGAACTCCGCACGGACCGCCGATAATAAACGCGATGCACCCGACTCCGCGTCGTATTGTGTTTCGATTTTGAAAAATCGCGCGTGGACGACCAAATACGTTTGTTCTCGGACCCGGAAAACACCGTCCAACTTACGGTCGATCGTTTGTACAACACGTGACGGGGTTTCTCGACCCCGGGGGCGGGGGTCTATTTAGACGCGCCCAAAAATATCGGCGGGTCGCGGGAATGTAAAATCGACAATACGGTTCGGCGGCCGAACCGTCGCAACGTCCGTTCGACGAGTCGCGGCGGCGAGGAGACCGAGAAACGCGGCGCGACGCAATAAAACGCAGATACGCGCGTGACGTTCAGAATCGAATCTGCGCGGCGCGCAGTGACCGGACGTTTCAAACGCGAACGCGCGAAGACGGCCCTCTCCCAACACCACCCCCCCCTCTTTCGGCCTATGGGAAATCCGAAGCTCCGCGGAACCGTAATCGAATGGATTCGCTCATATTATTTGCTCGGCCATTTCGAGAGTGCCCGCGGTTTTCCCGGAAAACGTCGTCGTCCGCGGTCTCTCCTCTGGTTCTCCGGCCGCGTTTCCGGCGTACCGCGCCCGTGCGCGACACCGAATTCCCCGGAACGTCGCCACGGGTTCGGACCGGCGCGTTTTTTTCACCCGTTGTCACCGATACCGTTTTGTTTTGTTTTCTTTCCTACGACCGGAGGAACGCAACGCGACGCGCAACGACGGCGAAAACGAAATTTCCGCCGACACGCCTTGGTTTATCGAACATCGGTCGCCACGGTGTAAAAACGCATAACGACAGATGTCGTTGCGTTGCCGGAGAACGCCCGGGCACCCGCGACCCACCCACCGGTTTCCCTTGCGCATCGCATCGGTTATCGCGCACCTGTTACGAGCCGCGCACGTAGGCATTACCGTTATCGTTCCAAGTCCTCGCCGCCGCGTACGGATGCGAACACTGTCGGTGCGCAACTCGCAATGCGCGCGGGCTTAACCGTCCATTCGAAAAACACCCGGTCGCCATTGACGTCGCGCGGTTGTCGATTAGTACCGGCCCAATCCCGTCGTACGCCCGCGTTCGCCGCCTCACCGGGTAACGATGCTTACGCAAAATACGCGAAACCGGCTTGATTTTTGATTTCGGAATAAAAGTGCCCATTACGAAATGTACGGGGAACAACGTTTCGGACGTAACACGTCGTCGGCGCTTTTTGAATTCGCGGACCGTTGAAAAAGTCACGGTTGATTAGAAAAAGAAAAAAATTTAATGTTTTTGTATCGACCTGTATATTTTCAACGATCACAAAAACCCTACGGGGCATTCCCTCCGGAATCAAAATCAAGCTGGTTTTTTTTTTCTTATTCTGTGTAAGCACCGTTTCTGCGCGTTTCGCCCGGTAGTTGCACCGAGCCGATAGATCCGGGTATGACACGTCCTCTTCAACGCACGTGTGCACCCCCGCGCTTTGTAACCGCACGCGACGACGTTGTCGTTAACGTTCCGGTAATAATGTCGGAACAAGGCCGCGGGCGCGCGAGCGTACTGCCGCGCGGGCGTACGTGTCACGTCCCACACCGGGTGTCGCGTAACGATGTGGCAGAGCACACTCGTATTGGTGCACGTGTTAATCGTTCTTCGGTCCGCGCGCCCGAGTCGATTTTCGGAATTTCTTTCTTTTTTTTCGGTCTCACCAACTCCCTCCCCCCCCCAGCAATCGTTATTTTTTCGATCCGAATGGCGCAATAACTGTTTGCGACTTGCGTCACACACGTTATACCACAATCGTAGGCACTGAAAATCAGATGTCTCAAATTAGGCGCTTCCGGGTCGACATTTTCCGTCTCTGTCGGACGCGTACGCACGGCGCGACGGAACAGTTCGGACCGATTTGGCTGTTCGTCCGATCCGAATTACCGGGAATCGCGGCCTGAAATCCGAAAACGGTCGGCCGGCCGAGCCTCGCGCAGGCGCACTACACGCAAGAATGGGTTTTCGAAACTTTTGTGTCGTTTCGCTACGTCGACGATCTCACAGACACGGAAACATTGGTCGAATTCGCGTACCTAATATTTGACGGAGAAAAAAAAAAAAAAGAGCACGTCGGTTTTTCGACCGCATTCGGTACAGAGACACGGCCGAAAGACATGGGCGGCGGTTTAAAAGGTCGTATCGTTTGGCAAAAACCGTCCCCCCGTTATTGAATAACGATCATACGAACGTCATAACCGATCGACTGGGACCGGGACCGTCGTAAATTCGTACCGGTACTGTAATTACGTCATAACGTTACCTGTGCGCGGTCGTTGCGGCGCGTAGTCCGGAAACGTCGTCTCGTCTACTGGGCCGGGATGGTCTCGTTGCGACAAACGGCAACGGTGTACGTATCAACAATCGAACCGGTCAACGGTCGAACGATAACAGTGCGCTGTTACTGTCGCGTTGGTTTCCCGTCGGTGACGCCGGCGATGATGGTACTGCGGCCCGGCATCGTGCGCGGCGCGAACCGATCATCGTGACGGCCACTCGTCCGGTCGAGTTCGGTGACGCCGCCGGGCGGTAACGGCAGAGAAAAAAATCTACGCGAACCGGATACGCGAATCGGGACTACTCCGAGGACGGGCTGCGGAGAGTACGGCGCGGCTGTATTTCTCGATAATATTATTGCGCGGGAAACGGTCGGTCGGGCCGCTACGACACGGTCGGAAAACAGTAAAACTATAATGCTTATAACATTTGCCTATTACTGTATCGTCAACGCGCGCGGTGACGGATAGGACGCGGTCCGATCACGTGTGGCTCGGCCGGTCGGCGGCGTGATAGGCGACCGCGATGGGCGTCCGAATATCCGCGTGCGGGATACAATTGTGTGTACGGTTCGGACAAATGAATTGTTCGCTCGTTAATACTACTCAGAGTGTGTACCCGCTGCTATGATAACAGTAACCGATACCGAGTAATAAAACGGTGGCGCGCCGCGAAACGGGCAACTGACGCGGCGGCGCTTTAAATTTTCGCGAACCGGATTAAAAACGTACGCTGACGATAAAAAAAAAAAAAAAAAACCAAATACTAAATCGCAATGTATCAACGGCGGCAAACAACAGTCACGGCCCGGACGGAAGACGGGAGACACGCACGCAGGCAACGGCCACACGACGATGACTGAACAACGGCGAGTACGGCGAGAAGAGCGGCCCGCAATCGGGCGGGCAGACCCGCGATCGCGGTGGTGGCGGCGGCGGCGGCGGCGGTGGCGGACGGACGGACGCGCGCGAAACAATACATAATGGAGAAAAGATCGCGTCGTCGTCGGTCGGCTGCCGGTCTCTCCGCTGTCTGCGCGTCTGCGTTCGCTGAGGTCATCGGGTTTGAATTATTGTTGTTGCGATCGTGTGCGACCGGCGACGTCGTGCACGGTGCCGAGAATAATATTTTCGCCGCGCGGCGGACGACGCGGTCGTTTTTCGTACGCGTGTAACGCAGACAACAACCCGGTTCGGCGATATCGCGTTGGAAAAAATTTCC